ACTTATTGCATGTTGCACAAAAAACCAAAGTTGTTTAACTGGTTTTCTTATCAGTCAGATCATTTTAGGACCAGTTCCATTTAAAGGGTTTATCATTTAGATTTAAGGAGCTACTCTAGCTGACCATAATGCAAAATGTTAAAATTTTCACTTGAAATTTTTTAAGAAAGCTAAAACTTTTATTCAGATGACCCATGCAGAGACAACTTATCAAGTGTTGAATCGGAGAAAGTGTTATATTTCTGTAGTATCAGATTAGGAAGTGATGCATGGTCAGTCGCCACTTCTTGAAGTCATCGTCGGGATCTTCTTTTCTACGTTATATGTCAGAGGAAGGTGAAAGTCCTCATGGGCCTCAAAAATGGGATTTTTTAATTGTATGATGTTCTTAATTTTACTGATCAAAGACATATTGCAATTATTACGTAAAAGTCAAAAAGTGCCAGTCTACAGTGATCCCTCGCTACTTCGCGGTTCGTTTATCGCGGATTCACGACTTCGCAGATTTTTTCTTTGGAGCCTTATTCAAGGGAAATTCGCCGATTCGCGGTATTTTTCACCGATTCGCGGTATTTTTCACCGATTCGCGGTATTTTTCTATGCGAAATATCAAGAAATTCCTGTTTTTTTTTTCATCAATTTCATCATAAAATGCACTTTTTGTAATAAAACTATAAAAAAAACAAGTAAAAAAATTTTTTCTCGAGTTTTACCCACAAAAAGAGAATGTGATCATACGATAATTCAATATAGTACTGTACTGTAAATATGGTGTCCCTACTTCGTGGATTTTCACCTATTGAGGCCAGGTCTGGAACGCATCTACCGCGATAAACGAGGGATCACTGTACATCAATTACTTGCTAGAGAGAGACAATTTCACCATTCTAGAAATGCAACGTAGGGGCTGCAAAAAAAACCTCAGAGGGTCTCAAATGGCCCCCAGGTCTACGTCGGGCTCGTTCCTGGTGAGTTGGACTCCGCCAAGGCTGCCCTTTTTCATCAATTCTGTTCATAAATTTTATGGACAGGTTTTCTAGGTGCAGCCATGGTGTTGATGGGATCTGTTTTGGTGGCCTGAGGATCAGGTCTCTGCTTTCTGCAGATGATGTGATCCTGTTGGCTTCATCAGAATGTGATCTTCAGCTTTCGCTGGAGCGGTTCTCAGCCGAATGTGAAGCAGCTGGGATGAGAAACAGCTCCTCTAAATTCAAGACCATGGTCTTGAGTCGAAAATAGGTAGAATGCCTTCTCTGGGTCAGAGATGAGGCCCTGATGATCGGTCTGTCGTGGTGAAGAGAGAGCTGAGCCGAAAACCAAAGCTCTCGATTTCCCGATCGATCTAAGTTCCAACCCTCACCTATGGTCACGAGCTTTGGGTAGTGACCAAAAGAATGAGATCATGGATACAAGTGGCTGAAATGAGTTTTCTCCGCAGAGTGGCCAGGCTCTCCCTTGGAGATTGGGTGAGAAGCTCGGTCATCCGTGAGGGGCTCGGAGTAGATCCGCTGCTCCTCCACATCGAGAGGAGCCAGTTGAGGTGGTTCAGGCATCTGGTTAGAATGCCTCCTGGTCGCCTCCATGGGGAGGTTTTCCAGGCACATCCAACTGGGAGGAGACTTAAAGGAAGACCCAGGACACGCTGGATAGACTATGTCTCTCAGCTGGCCAGGGAACGCCTTGGGATTCCCCCGGAGAATCTTGGAGAAACTTGCTGTCAAAAAAGGGTTTTGAAACAGTAATTTATGCTTTTATTACATCAAGGCTTGATTACTGTAATTCTTTGAACCTTGGTGTTTCACAATCCCACCTCTCACGTCTTCAGTTGGAGCAGAATGCTGCTGCACGGCTGCTCATTGGGACGAAAAAGATGGAGCATGTTACTCCTGTCCTGGCCTCACTGCTGTAGCGTGATGAATTGTCCATTTCTGACCTAAAGGCCCTGCTCTATTTGCTCTGCCCAAGCAAAACCACAGGTTTCTGACACAAGCCTAATCTACAAGATATGGGCCAAGGCCACTCATGCTCTGTGCTCTTATCTAAACTGGTGCATCCTCGGATCGCACAAGAAAGAAGAAAGATGACAGAACTCTATTAAATAATAATTAAATAATGTCTGTTAGTCCAAATATGCACAAGAAGCTAATGTTCAATCAATCTGTGAAATAAGAATATTAATTACTTGATATTATAATCCTATGATAGTATATAATAAGTAATATAACTTTAAATATTTACACTAGACTATCACATGTAATGCTAAAGTCACATGACACATTTCCTTTTCCTGATCCAATCAGAACCTTCCAGATCTGACGCGAGGTGTGGTTTTGATGGTGCTTGGTAAATCCCCTTTTGTGGCAAATTCTGATTCGACCATAAATCAAAACATCCAAATTATGAAACTATGCCCCACGTCATCTTAACTTGAGTTCCAAGTGTTCTAGAGAAGTTATCGGAGTAGCCAATCCGTAACTTTCCTCTAAAAGCCGAAAGAACCTAATGACGAGCTGGATTAAATCTGTTGCATGTTCCACCTGCTGCAACGGTTCCTTCAGATTAAAAGCTGAACCATCACGACCCCTTCAGGGTCTCGCTTATGCCAATAAACTGTCGTGACGTGGGAGTAACTCAAGACTGGAAGGGTCGGCAACCACTGCATATCTTCAGGCGTCGGTTCCAAGAGGGTCCAAGCTGGACCCCCGACATTCCGGATCTAAACGGGGACTTCCGTTGGGGTACGTAGACCGACAGATGGCATCTCAATGTGTGTTATAATCTCCAACCTAAAAGCTTAGAGCGAAACACCATTTCACTCCCATCAGAACTAATAGTCTCTCCGGATTTGCTGGTTCTGAACATATTTCACACACACACCATCCTCAGTCTTACTCCACCTTAGTTACATCATACACATAATGTTTAAAGTTAGTCTTGTTTAAACTGTTTAGAAATAAATCTTTTAACTTTTTAAACCTGACTCTCTCTCTTTCTTGGAGTTGATACGAAGTGTTGCTCAATCCCTGCAATAAAAAGATCCGATCCTCTGGTTAAATTTATTGAAAGATCCATTAAGGTGATATTTCATATTTTATGATATTTCACATTCTATCGTTTCTAATTAAATGTAAGAACATCTTCTCTACACTGCACTGGCTGCCTGTTCGTTTTAGAATCCAGTACAAGGTGCTTTTATGGGCTGCATGGCCCTGCTCCAGATTATCTCTCGGAGCTACTGGTTTTTACTCCCCTGCACGGTCTCTGAGGTCGGCTGATAGGATGCTCCTGGAAGTCATATCATGATAAATGACCCGCACCCGTAAAGCAGCGTTCAGAGTCAGAGGGCTCCAAAGCATCCATTCACACACACATTCACGGTGATGAGCTACAATGTAGCCACAGCTGCCCTGGGGCACACTGACAGAAGTGAGGCTGCTGAGTACAGGCGTCATCAATCCCTCCGACCACCACCAGCAGGCAAGGTGAGTTCAGTGTCTTGCCCAAGGACACAACAGCAGAATTCTCTCTCTGGAGCCAGGATTGAACCTGCAACCTTCCGATTACTGGACAACCCGCTCTACCTCCTGAGCTACTGTTGCCCCAGTATCAGCTGAACATTGTCTAAAGACAAGTCTCATTTGCATGCGATTTAACAATAAACAACATGTCCACCACGACTGGCACCATGGTCTTGGATTTAGAGGAGCTGATTCTCACTCGGAAGCATTATTTTTTTAGTTAATTAATCGTAATTAACATGTTAAATTCCCACTCTTAATTAATACACATGCTGGCTAATAGGTCGTTTGCAATTTAACAAGAGGATCCTTTATTTATTTAATTTTTAGAGCAGATTGTTTTGGATAATATATAAAATTATCATTTTAAAACTGTACTTTTTATTAACTATGGGTGTTTGTAAGACATTTAAATTTGTTTTAGCTTTAATAGTTAAGAGGCTGCCTGGTGGAGGTGTTGGTCACACCAACTGTAGCCTCGCAGCAAGAAGGTTGAGGGTTCAGATCCCGGCTATGGTCTTTCTACACAGAGTTTGCGTATATGTGTGGGATTTTCTGGTTTCCTTCTCCCCTGAACGTAAACAGACTATTGCATGGACTGTAGAGGTTTCACAGGCCAAGTTCTTCCCAGACACATTTAGAATTAATATCAAATATCTTTTTCTGCTCATATGGTCCATCATCATAGTCCTACTGTTGTTCATTTGAAAACCTCTGTAGCTCTTTCCTCGACCACATGCTGTGTAAACTTTCTGTTCTGAGAGAAATCAGTGAAGAAATAGCAGCTCTGAAGACGGGTATCCGAGTTGTGTGTGTGTGTGTGTGTGTGTGTGTGTGTGTGTGTGTGTGTGTGTGTGTGTGTGTGTGTGTGTGTGTCAAATAGATATAGTTTACTTTGTGTTTATTTTGGGGGTGGAGCCCTGCAAGAGATGGCCGTCAGAACAACCTATGTTCAGAGAAATAGAGATGAATGCTCAAAGAAAAGAAGCTGCAGCAGCTCAAAAAGCACATTTATAGCATCTAAATAACTTAAACCAGAAGCGTGTTTCATTTAATTATTTTAAACTTTTCCACAACATTAGACTGTTTTATTTAAATAGATTTTAGGACACAGTGTAACATTTCCTCCAGCCAAAAGGGACTAAATTCTCTTAGCGATTTGCCATCGCTGCTCATTTTCTCTGTGAAAGACAGACACAGTGTTTGTAGCACAATCCTCTAACCAGCAAGATGGAGCACTCATGTCAGGAGTTCCGGCAGAGCAGATTACCAAATAATAATGGATCTCAAGTGCTTGGAAGTGGATGCATGAATTCCTCACAGCTAGCCGAGTAAACACAGATCAGACAGATGCCATCTAACCGTCTCTAACCCTAACCCAGATGCAAAACGACACGCTGAAGTTTCCTCCACAACGAGCTCGGAGAACTAAAACCATGCTCTGACTTTACTCAAGTCTGAGTGGAGGGATGATCAGATGCTGAGGAGCAGATGCCTGAGAAAACACACAGACACTTCCACTCCACAGCAGCCGAAAGAGGCACACTGAGCCCTTCTCCTTAAATGGTAAAAGCTCCAAGGAGAGAAAGAGACTGCTGCTGCTGAAGTGAGACAGGGATCGGAGGGGACGGGAGAAGGAAAGAGAAGCCCTGCAGATTCAGGAGTTTTTGGTGCAAAAGGCTGAGAGTGACCGGGCGGCTCTGGGAGTGTTACTGCAGCGATGTCAGGTAAAGAGCACGTCTTCTGTGGACAGGTTCAGATGTCCAGCTGCACGGACACTTGAAGCTCAGTGGTTCTGTGAATGTGTCAAGCGTGTGTGAGCGTTTTCATGGACAGTGAAGCTTCCTGACAGGTCGGCTGGGCTGAAACCAGAACTTACTCGCATGTCTGTTGGAGGAATCTGCTGTCTCTGTCCATCCCATCATACGTGTTTTCTCACACTTCCTCTGCCCTGTTATCTCAGATTGTGCCTCTGTGGTAACCACTTCCTCTGCTACTCTGCACTCTGTGCCTCACTCAACCAAATTTTAAACAAATCTGGCAACAGGGAGCAGCTTATGCAACAGAGACAGGAAGGAGGGTGTCCTTCGCCTTCGCTTTCAGGACAGCGAGAGACCGAGCTGCACGTAAAACTGGCTGAAAACGAAGTTCTCCTTCTCGCTCGTTTGAAGAAAAAAAGAAAAATGAGTTGTGTTCATAAGGTTATCTGTGCTCGGGGTTGCATGTTCTGTCCTCCCGTCCCACAGGAAATAAGTGGAGCGATTCAATTACTCTGCAATATTTATCTCTGTGTCAAACTCTGCAGGAGAAACCAGCACCTTCGTTTAGTTTGAACCGTTCTCAGGTTGTGCAAAGTTTCCACTGACTTTTAGTGGTTTGTCAGCGGGGCTGGGGACTTTTGGACACATCCAGCTATTTTGGGATGCTTGTTTGGGTAATATTATGTTATTTTTGGTTATGGACTTAAAAGGAAAGCAATAATTTCTGATGATGGAGACAAAAATACACGTGATCAGAGATAACTGACCCTTTTGTTGTTCTTCTGGTTTCATAATATTTGATATCTTGTCTGAAAAGGGAGCTGTAGCACTGATAACAGAGCACAAAAATACTTTAAAATCACAAGTGATGCATGTAGTTGTTACCAGATTAGCTCTGAACTTCATTTTGGATTTAAATTTGTTGAGGCGGAAAACGCAGAAAAGGTTCAAAGTGTCCAAAATGAGGTTTTCTTAACCTTGATTTTGGCTTTTAATTGAATTTCATGATAAATATAATCAAAAACCTCCAATGACATTTACTAAAAATTCCCTCTAGATACAGCAAACATGAGACTGAACTAATTTATTTGTCATTGTTGAGAAAACAGAAAATATTTAATCCAACAAATCGAGGGTGTTGGATGAGTTCTTTTGACAAGGAAAACACAGACGACCCTTTCATTTTTCTGATTTTCAAATCCAGGTAGAACTGAAGTGTTTTTATTTTTCACAAGTATTTTTAACTCGATTGTCTGTGTTGGTGGATGCTGTCATTATCTGTATGCACGCTTCTTCTCAAAGTCACACCAAACCCTCTGTCAGGAATCTTGGTGTGGCCTTTGACCCTGCTCTCACCCTGGATTCTCATGTCAGTTCTCTTCCTTCTTCCATCTCAGGAACATTGCTAAGCTGAGTCCCATTCTGTCCCGCTCTGAACTTGAGACTAGACGCTTAGATTACTGCAACTCTCTTTTCTCGTGTCTGAGCAGAACCTCCCTGAACCGCCTACAGGTGGTTCCGAACGCCTGTGCTCGGCTTATGACCAAGTCCTCCAAACACACCCGCATCACCCCGCTTCTCCTCCAGCTTCATTGGCTGCCAGTCAACTTCAGGGTTCATTTCAAGATCCTGGTTCTGGTCTATAGGGCCTTAAGCCTGTCGCACACGACAGCAAACAGCTGAGCAAACAGCCTCGAATGACCATTTGCTCAGCAGATACCCCGCTGTGTGCTCCTAATTTTCACAGAATTTTCTGCCACTAAGTGAGCTGCCAGCTGAGCTGAAATATTCGAGTGGCCAAAAAAAGCACGTTCTCCAGTGGCGGCTGGTGAAAAATATTTTTGGTGGGGCTGTGCTATTTTTTATTTTTAAACAAACTTGTGCTTTCTGAGCTTTGTGCACAACTTCACTATTTCCTAAATTAAGCACAGCTCTTTTATTTCCTGTCTTACATTATTGGACAAACTGATTAATCCAGGTGTGTCTTGACTATTGGCACGCTGCCTTGCAGACCAAGGTTGAAAAATACTGCATTAAATTGCACATAAAATAACACGACCATAAATGGTAAATAGGCAATGCAAGGGGCAAGTAACAAAAACATTTTGTTTAATTTCAACATTTGAGTGAACACCAAAAATTATGAGCAGGTCACTGTTACAGTTATGGTAGTAAACACCACTTAGACAAAATGCCAGAAATTTACACTGTTAAATATTTCTGGAGTGTTGTGCCAAGGTCAAATTTATACAAAGATCAAGTGGATGCATTTGTGTGTGTGTGATACCTCATTTGTACAGAAATTTTGCCCTTCTGTCCTTCTGAGTGGCAAAGCTCTCGATTAGCTTTTTATTGAAGTCAGGAATGTTTGTGACAAGCTTTTTTTTCCATGGAGAGCATGGCAAGAGCATTCAGCCCATCCTGTGTCATGGTGTTCCTCAGGAAAGTCTTAATCCTCTTTAAAGTAGAAAAGCACCTTTCTGATTCAGCTGTGGTCATGGGTGTGGTGACAAGAATCTTCTTTTGCATGGCTCAGGATGGTGTGAAAAACCTGTCATATGATAAATAAAAAACAACAGATAAGTACATAGGAAACACTTTCATAGGAAATAATGGCATCAGTATCCTCTTACAAATGTCATATTTCCCAGTTTTTGGGACAATAAAACATTTCTGATTCTCAATCAGATGTTTTTACATTTGAGGCACACACAGCGAGGAATCTGCTGAGCAAATGTCATTCGAGGCTGTTTGCTTGCAGTTTGCTCTTGTGTGCGGCAGGCATTACATGGACAAGCACCATCTTACATTGATGATTTTCTCAGTCCCTACACCTCCAGCAGGCAATGGCGCCCCCAAAATTGCTGGGCCCCCCAGCAAAAGCCTGTGTTACTAAATCATATTAATGTTCACTCAAACCATAAATTGATCGTATTTATTCAAGACATAATTGTAAAACAAGATAAAAATAATAGAATTAATGAGTAAAGAAACAACCAGAATTTAAAAAATACATACGTTTCTGCTGCTCACATGTTAAAAGAGTTTTTATCGCCATAGTTTTTTTTTGTGAACACAGCAACAGGTGAATTAAACAAAAGTAAAAAAAACATTTTCAAATTAAATATGAAATAACGTTTTAAATAACTGAAATGTATTTTTCAGAAATCTTTGTGTTTGTAAAATTTAGGTTAAATGTTTTGGATACAAACTGTTTTTTTTTAAGAAAAACAAATAAAGGAGCAATGCAATACACTGCGATGGACTGGCTCTCTGTCCAGGGTGTACCCCGCCTGATTGCCCATTGACCGCTGGAGATACCCCCCCCCCCCCCCCCCCCCCCGTAAAGTGCCTCATGATTTTTATCTTGAGAGATGCTGTATAAAAGATCATTTCTTCTTCTTCTTCTTCTTCTTCTTCTTCTTCTTCTTCTTCTTCTTCTTCTTCTTCTTCTTCTTCTTCTTCTTCTTCTTCCTCTTCTTCTTTTTCTTCTTCTTCTGTCCAATACAAGCCAGGACCTCCCAACCCCAATTTCTACCCGCATGCACACAATTAAAAGTGATTAATTACAAACTTCATAGAGACTTTGATTATACTGCTACATGTTATTGGGATTTTATAGATACGATTTTTATAAATATAAACTTGGTAACCTCAACCTCAGTAGAGACAAAATTGTGGGGATCCCCTGCCATCTTGAGGGGACCCCAGGTTGTGAACCAAAGACAATAATTTTAAGGGTAGTTACAGCACCTGATCTACATAAAAATATCTATGAACAGAGACTGGACACAGCTTTTATTTTAAAAACTTGCCTTTAAACATTCACACGGCCATTTCCTGTGCTGCAGCCATCATCTTTACCTGGTCAAACAAACAATAAATACAAACAAATTAAATAAGAAATCACATTTTGTTTCAGTTATTTTTAAACCTTCTGCAGACATGATGAAAAGAGAAGTGATTAATCTTCTGTAAGACACTGTATTCTAGTCAGGAAGTGTTCCTGAAGCTGACTGGGAGACAGCTAAACAACCCACTTCCTCCCCAGAGACGCTCAGCCGTCTTGTCCCTATATGTTCCCAAGCACTTGTCATGTTTGTAATAATGATACTGAGCAGAGCTCACTTTTAGACTTCAGTTCACTCAGAAACGGCCTTTCACTTTTAACGCACACACGAACACAAGTCCTGCCTGCAGCCACACCTGTGCTGCTCATGCATATGGAAAAGCTGCTATTTCTGGGGGAATTAATCAAGCTTGTGTGAAGCTCATTAGCGTCATAGCAGCTAACCTCTGACTCAGTTTGTGCCTGTGCTTCATCAAAGCACAGGCACAAACAAAATTTGCACAAAGGGTTGTAGTGAAATTCCGTATAATTCTGTATGAAACTAGATTTCTGCCAATTCTGCAAATTTACTTAATTTAATGCCAGCTTTGGTCCATTCAGACTCTATAGTGGCCGTTTGTCCGCTCAGTAATCTTCTCAAGTTTCTTTGTTTGTTTTTCACCATCCCAGAGGGACTGGTTGCCTCAGTCAGCCTGTGAGCAGTACAGCGTTTAAACAACCAGATGCATCTCTGTGTGTGTTTGTGTCAGAACAACAACTGCCTGAAGTCAAAGTGTGGGAACAAAGCAAATACACAAAGAAGCATTAATTGTCTCCTGATCACCAGCAAAGCAGAAGGAAGGTTTTAGTGTTTAAGTCTGCTGGATGAAAATGTATTTATTTAGCTCCGTTCTTCAATGAATGATTTGAAAAATTCCTGCAAAATCCTTAGAGAAAGGGTGAGGAGCTCGGACTTTCGGGAGGGACTCGGAGTAGAACCGCTGCTTCTCCGGATCGAAAGGAGTCAGTTGAGGTGGTTTGGGCATCTGGTCAGGATGCCTCCTGGACGCCTCCCTGGGGAGGTGTTTCAGGCATGTCCTGCTGGCAGGAGGCCCCCGGTTACCACATAATCTCTTCTCCTCTAGCGTAGCTGTTACTTACCAAATGGCCAGATTTCTAAAGGAAGTTTAAGTTTGCCAAACCTACAGCCATTTTCCTTCTGTTTTTCTCCGTGTCTGGTTCGATGACGTCACTTTTGTGGTGTGCATTTGTAGTCCTGGACTTATTTTCACACAAAACCTAACCCCCACCCCCCACCCCACCCCACCCCCACCCCCTAAATTAAGCACGTTCTTGGTATCAACATGTGTCTTTAAAATTCACGGACGTCATATGTGAAATCCTTGGCACATATCAAGCTGAATTAGAAAATAGCGTTTTTAGCCCCGTTGACTTGCATTCGTTTTTTCGTTCTTCCGTGTACCGTAGTCCGGAAGTAGATGAGTGTGAAGTCACTTCCGCATCATGGGTCCCCGGAAGAACGAAAAAATGAATGCAAGTCAACGGGGCTAAAAACGTTATTTTCTAATCCGCTTTGCCTTACGCCCTGGATCGCAATTATGTTGTACTGCGATTTAAATGAAAACTAATGATGGGTGTCTTTGGTGTGTTCTTACTGTGTTTAATTTCTAATTCCATTTTTGGTTCTTAGCAAGGTAAAGAAAAACCTTTCCTTTGTTTTAAAAAGAACCAAAAATGGAATTAGTAATGATGGGTGTTTTGACCACGCCAGTCACGTACTTTGAGATTTATTCGCTTGTAAAATGTTCGTAAACAGCACGACTACAAACTAGAAATCGGCACGTCGCATATGTGATGTCACCACATAATCTCCTCTCCTCTAGCGTAGCTGTTACTTACCACATGACCATATTTATGATGGTTCTTTCCTCCTGCGGGAAGTTTGCTGAACTTACAGCCATTTTCTCTGTTTTGTTTTTATTTTATTATTATTATTTTTTTCATTTACAAACAACATGGCATAAATTCCTTTGACATTCCCAAGGATCAGGTGCGAAGAATAACAAAAGAGACTTTGCATAGAAAGCAAAGAATATTTGTGAAAGAAAGAAACAAACAAAAATAAATAAATAAATAAGAGACAAAGAGCTAGCTCTTTGTTTTCAAATCATACTTTTCTAAAAGATTAAGGAGTTTCATTGCATGTTTACTTTTCATGAAGTTAAGGGCTTTGGAGAAAGAAATACACTCGTTATGAAATGCATAGAATCTAGGCGTCACTTTTCCATTTGTGATTGTAAAATTTAGCTACAATGATTATGTTATTTACCAGAAAGTCCCATTCAGTGTTATCTAATATGGCTCCGTAAATGACATCGTTCTCAGAAAAGGGTTCAATACGCATCTTTGTGCATAGCCACTCATGGATATCATTCCAGAGAGCTTCGGAGTAAATGCATTGATAAAATAAATTAACAGAGGTTTCTATATCATCACAAAATACACACTTGTTTGTATCAAAACCACATCTCTGTCGTAAGAATTCCCCAGATGGGTATACGTCATTTAAAACTCTAAAATGGATTTCTTTGGCTTTTGGAGTTATAGAAAATTTGAGGTATTTAGAGCATAATGAGTACATAATAGCTATGGAGAAATTTTGTTTAATGGAATTTCTGAAAGGCAGTGAAGGGTGTGAAATATCGTCAAGCATTTTTCTAATTGTTTTATTAGGAATTTTAACACTCTTAAAATTGAAGTTTCCAACTACTAGATGAGGAAGAGTAGGGGAGACTGAATAAGAGTTTGAAACAATTTCTTGAATTAGATTTAATGTAGGAATAGGGGTGGCTCTTATTATGGAAGTGAATAAAATCTGATCAACTGTAGCATTATATTTATGACAGAAATTCTCATGGGTCATCACATGCCTATCTTTATCAGTCAAATGAATTAGGCCCTGTCCACACGTAGCTGGGGATCTGCCAAAACGTAGATATTTTTCTACGTTTTGGCCTGTCATCCACACGAAAACGGAGTTTTTTCACATGAAAACGGATCAGCATTTTTTTGTCGCGGAAAGGGACGTTGCGGACCTTAAAACTCCGGTTTTGTCTGTCCACACGTAGACACCCAAAACGGAGTAAACGCAGATCTTCACTTTGGCCGGAGTTTTTAAAAAGATCCATTTTCGTGTGAAAAAACTCAGTTTTCGTGTGGATGACAGGCCAAAACGTAGAAAAATATCTACGTTTTGGCAGATCCCCGGCTACGTGTGGACAGGGCCTCAGAGAAGGCAGCCGAGTATATTTGCTGTAGAAAGAGGTCAATTCCTTTGTAATTAAAGTTGGATCTGTACATATTTGATTTTGAATTAATAAAGTTTTAATTGAATTTCTTTCTTGCCTTCTTTCTAATTGACAAAAATAAGCTGTACTATTTTTTTCTCTCAGTTTTCTCCGTGTCTGGTTCGATGACGTCACTTTCGTGAAGCACATTTTTAGTCCTGGACTTATGTTCACACAAAACCTAAAATATCGTTCCCCCTGTTCAAAAATAAGCGCGTTCTTGGTACCAAAATGTGTCTTTAAAATTCACGGCCATCATATGTGAAATCCACTGTACAAAACAAGCGGAATTAGAAAATAAAGTTTTTAGCCTCATTGACTTGCATTCATTTTTTCGTTCTTCTGGGGACCCATGATGCGGAAGTGACTTAGGCTCCTTTTAGTATCGCTGTAGCTAAACAGGCAATCACATTTGGTTGCTAGGGTAAACTGGAGAATTATAGGCCAATCAGCATTTGGGAATTTAATGTTTCTGGGGCTGGCTGACAGCGCCCCCGATACAGAAAACATCTACAGTAGCTAGCATGCTAGCAGGTGCTAGAACTCATTTTCACTCTCTCTCACTTCCTAATTCACACACACTCACTGTTGGTTTAATATAGAGATGAAGTCATAGCTGTTGCTGTAAATTGTGTTTATTTGTTCTCGTTTTATGGGATTATATTGTTTAATGCCGCATATCAAATTCAGTTTGCATGTCGTGTCACTGCCACCTACTGGCCAAACAGAGTATTTCGCTTTGAGGTGAGCAGCTTTGAGCAGATGATTGAGGCTATTGTGGGATGTGTTAATGTGTGACTTTCAAGGTCAGCTCTGGCAGCTTTGGGTAAAGGAGGATCTTCCTATAATTTAATCTGTCCCATTTGTTCTCTCAAGCTAAAATACACACATTCATGTTTTTTATACACTTCTGGTTTTGCAGCTCCAGCGAGAGGAGAAGTTCTCACAGCAGGAGGAGTTTTCTTTTAAACAAGGAGACTGTAATCAGTCCCCTTTTACTGCTGGAAGACCGTTTCTCTTCCCTTCCGCCTGCCCTCGCCCCTGTCTGCCCTTCGTCATGCCCACGCTGCCCGAGGAAGAGGAGGACTCTCCAGAAGAGCTGGACAGCTCCTCCAGCTCTCCCAGAACAGTGAGTGTGTTAAACACTGCTGCATTCAGCTGTTAGCTAAAACACTCAAAACAATGACTCATTTGGAAACACTGATGGAGATAAAATTCCATCAGTGTTTCTGCTCAGAAATTAGTTTTTTCTTTGAATTAAAATTAATATTTAGAAGCATGGCTGACCTCTCCTCAGTGAGAGCACAATGTACTTTTCATGAGTTAATCATTGTCCTCTGGCGACGGCTTCCTACTCTTCAAACTGAGTCTCATTTATGCAGAAAAAAGCAGAAGCTACAATATTTAGTGCATTTATTAGTTTTGCTCTGTAAGAGTTTCCTTAAAAAGGTTGCCAAAAACGTCTCTGGTGTGTTTCAGTATGAGGGCACACACTTAGATCTGTGAAAAAGCTGAATCGTGACTTTTTCTTTGGCAACAGCTTTAATGAAACAGAATTTTGACTTTATCGTGTCATTTTCTTACCCCAAATTTCACGAATCTTTTTTACATGGAACATGTAACACATATTAACTTGTTATGCTGTTATTTTTTTTTACTAGTTCCTGTTAAAGCAGCCACTGAGAAACTTTTAATTTATCACTTACGTCCAAGGAAAGAAGTTTGTTTGGACCACACCGCAGCAGTCTTTTGACCCTAGTGAAATGTTTGTTTATTTTTCAAACCGATCATGATGATGATGATGATCTGCAGTCAGTCCACTCAGTTATCAGAAGTTATTAAAATATGTGGCCGTAAACTTTGACTCAGGATGCAAATCTCTGAACTTTAGACCATGTTTTCAGACTTTTTACAGCCGCTGTAGTTTGATTATTGATGCCCACTAATGCACTACATTTTGCCTCATTTTCAGAGTGAGTTTCCAAAAAAAAACATCCAAACGGTTCCTTTACTGGTGTTTTCTGTTGGTTTTTGCAGTCCATAGTGGGTGAAAGCCAAGCCGTCATTATGCCTGCCCCCACCATCATCTACCCACAGCAGGCCATCATCATCCAAAAAGAAGGACATCCCTTTGATCAAAGCAGGTAATCGACTAATGTCTCAGACTAGGTTTGTCTTCTATTCTGTAACCAGAGTCTGTTCTCTCCCCCAGGCCACACAGTCCCAGATCTCGCCAAGCCAGAAACTCCACCGGAGGACCCCTCACCACAGTCGGTGGGTAGAAAAATGCTGCAAATGTAAAAGTCTAAAAATAAACATCATCATGAGAACTATTTAGTTATTTCTGCTTAAGCTGAGCTCCAAATTAGATCATAAGTTTCAGGCTGGAGAGGTTTTCCGTGAGTTTGTTGTTTCCTGCTTTTGTGATCAGACAAACTTGCTTCTCAATCCAGTCTGTTCCTGTCTTCTGTTTTTACCCTGACAGTTGAATGTGTTTCCCTCGTGACTGAAATCATGTTGGAGCTTTGATCACCTTAGTGTTTATTAGTAATACTTTATTAAAGCCAGTTTTAGTTAAACAGCTGACTACATCTCATGTCAGGAGATTTCTTGCATGACATATGTGAGTGGATATTTTTTTTTGTCTCAGCTGTTCAAGGGACTGTTTCTGCACATTATGCAAATAGCTTGTAGGGGCGAAAAAAATGACAGTTGCATGCATCAGGTGAGTCTTTGCAGAGAGCATGTCATCACGTGATGCTCGTCTCTCTCAGACAGCACCGGTAACGTGATCGACCTGCTGAAAGATCAGCTGCCGGAGCTCCAGCTGTCTGAAGAGGATCGGCAGAAGAATCTGGAGCTGCTAGAGCAGGCCAAGAAGGTCAGCGACCGCTTTCTAACACGCCGAGGACGCCGATCCTCCAGCAGCCTCACCGAATCACCCACAGGTAATCCGTGCACGGTCTCACACGTGCACGCTGACACAGAACCACTGACTCATCAAACAGGGGCAGGAGGTCACGCATGATCTCACTGTGTTTACTTGGAGTTTTTAAAGCGTGCTGCTGGTATTTTGAATTGCTTGTTTCACAGGTCTCTCTCCGCCTCTAACGCCATCATCCTCACCACGTTCCTCCAGAAACAGCTCAGTAATTGGAGCTCCTCAAACAGGTTTGTGCTTCACTTTGGGTCCTTCAAACAAATTAATTCACTTTAATTCTTTATTTAAGCTTTGTTAGGATTCTGCTCCTGGCAAGGCATCAGTCTTTGTTGAGCTTCGGTTATTTTTAGATCTGACAAATTTAGGTCCCAGATCAAATACTTCTGATCCTTCCACCTTTCTCAGTGGCCTCCACCTTCCTCAGTGGCCTAGTGGTAGAGTGTCCGCCCTGAGACTAGGAGATCAGGGGTTCGATTCCTGGTCGGGTCATACCAAAAGACTTTGAAAAAATGGGACCCAATGCCTCCCTGCTTGACACTCAGCTTTAAGGGGTTGGATTGGGGGGTTAAACCACCAAATAGTTCCCGAGCGCGGCTGTGTCTGCAGCTCACCGCTCCCCCAGGGGATGGGTCAAATGCGGAGAACAAATTTCGCACACACACCTGTGTGTGTGACAACTAATGGGACTTTAACTTTGATGTTCAAGCCTCTTTTTAAAAGAACTGGGGGAATTCTGTGTCCAAAACTTTCTTAAGACAGAAAGTTTTTGTCTTTGCAGCTGCAGGATCCCCAGAGACGACTTATATCAGCTCACAGTCACTCAGTCAGGTAAAGAATACTTATTCCAATGGTGATTCAAATGTTCTGCATGTAAAGCATTCTTTATTTCAGTATCTATCATTTTGCCTGAAACAAATAAAGATAGATCAGAATACTAACACATGGAAACTGCTGTTTTCTGGCAGCGTCTGGAGGTTCCTTCAGCGAGGGAGCAGCCGCCAGACTCAAGAAACCAGGGCCTAGAGGTGAGGCTCGCCTATCAGTCATGTAAAGAAGCTAGTGATTAAAATGTAGATATTGAATGATTTTTCTAAATGTGTAGGATGAGGTCTTGGTAGACTGGAAACCCACAGAGAAGAGGAAAGTGTCCTCTGGAACGCTAACGCCCCGGTTCGCAGCTCAGAAGGAAAACTGTCATCCTGCCAGGCCTAAAAGTCCTCAAGCTACTAGTAAAGAGGATGAGGTTTCAGCGCGAAACCAGAGCCCGGCCCCGGCCACAGGGGTGGCCAAGCCCGTTCCCAGACCTCCCACCCAGCAGGCCCCCTGCACAGCAGAGATCAAAACCATCGGGGCCTTTCCTCCCCTGATGAGAGCCGTTTCATGGGACGCTGTGAGCAGCCTTAATTCAAGAACTGGAGCTCCAAGTTTCCCCTCAACAATCAAGGAAACGTTTTCAGATAAACACAGAGATGCCTTCAGGTCCTCAGGTTACAAAGACTTTCCCCTTCAACCAGGCAGCAAACTTTCGAAAATCAGAGAGGTGAAAGATTTTGTTCAAAGAGCTACGCTTCAACACCACCCTAAGTGTCCTCTGATGAAATGTTGTGGGAATAAAACTCTTTATTCTTTTTTTATTGCGCAGGAGCACAAGCTGATGCGCAACCAAAGCATAGTCGGATCCATGTTACCAGATTTGAGCGAAGCTGCTGAGCAGGACAAAGGTAGCTGCACTTGATCACTCACTGGTGATATGAGACAGAAATCACAGCCAGCAGGATCGCCAGGGGCGTGCACTTCCTGAACCTCAGAGAAAATCTCTCGTTTACAGATAAACACAGAAAAGAAGCGTCGTTTCTTTTTTCCATCAGCAGATGGCATGCGTGTGAAATCATGTGAGGCAGTGGCCGCTTGACATGAAGGAATCATCATTAATATTTTTATGTTTTGAGTGAGAGACGGACCTGAATGCATTCATTCAATGGCTTCAGATGTTTGTTGTGCTTTACTGCTGTTTGAATTATTCAGTCTGGGTCATTCAGACCTGGCTGTTCTTTCAAAAGATCCGTTAATTCTCCTGAGGACCTGTTTATTGTGTCTGCAGGACCGTCGTTCTCTCTAAAGTCAACAAACGCTGAGGAGTCGAAAGAAAAATCTGATGCTATGCCAAACATTTCAGATGTGATGCTGAGAAAACTCAAGCTGCATCGAGGCCTGCCTGGCTGGTTCGTAACAAACTTCTACAAAAACAAACTTTTATTATCTTTAAACCATCTCTTTTCTTCGTACAGAACAACATTTAATTCTGAGTTTTCTCTCTTTTTGTCTTTCAGTGCTCCTCCTCTCACTGAAAAAGAAGTTGAGGTTGGTATCCATCTGGAAGTTGAGCCCTTTAAAAACAACTAGACATCTTTCTGAAACAGAAAGAGCCATTTCTACCATCTCTTTAATATCGAAGGAACCAAAAAATCTGCTTCACCCATAAAATTCTTAGAGTTTTGGCCAATAGATTTGCATATCCACAAGAGGGAGCTGTCAACCAGATCCAAGAATGCGCTCCAGTTCCCAGGATGCACTAAGAGGTGACGCACTGCTGCACCTCAGTCCTGGCACACCAACCTAGCTTTAATGCTAACTCAACCTACAATGAATTCATGTCAGTCTGTAAGCTTCAAGCTAACTGTGGAAAAAGAGGGATTTTGTGTTGGATTTAAATGATAGGTGTAGCATTCCACTTTAAAATGAGTGATTATTTGCAGAACCCGATGATGCAGGTGCTACAAGGCCACTTGTGTGCACATGCTCAGTATGAAGTGTGGATTTCTGTATGAATGCAAAAATTGTTTTTGTATGACTAGTTCAGTTTGGAAGGCAAGCAGTTCAGTGTTGGGGAGATTTAGTTGGAGGTGGTGGGCTTTCATCCATGTCAACGTGTCAGATTCTCAGATTCTTGCTGGGACGGTGTGGTTGTAGGGTGAAAGTGATGGGATGCTTGGTATCACGTCTGCTTGGCTTAATGACCTGGCGCCTCATTTATCAAGCTTGCTTACGTACAAAACAGCGTCGGAAAACTGCGTAAGCAAATTTCCACGCAAACTTTGGGATTTTTAAAAGAAAACTTTGCGGGAAAATGTACGCAACTTTAAGAAGACAAAGGACTTGGCTCATTTTGGACATGGAGAGCACCTGCAGTGCTGCTGCTGAGAAGGATACAATTATGAATACCAGCAGCATTACCACATGTACCACTTTGTGTGCACACACAGAACAAGCCAGCTCCCTCTTCACCTGACATCTAGAGACAGATAGGTGGGAGGGGGAGGTAAATGGGGCAGCAGCATCTCCAGACTTGGTTGAAGACAGATTTATAGAACCAGAAGAGTCCATGACTGCGTTGGAGGACAAAAGAGCTGGCGTGTGACAGGAAAATGTTGGATGAGAGGAGGATGGGATGTCTGATTGGCTGGGGACAGGCGAGGAGGATGCTGGGTTTGTTCCTGAACTGAACCTATTGAAGAACTTGTTCAGTTCATTAGCTTTGTCCAGGCTGCCATCTGTGCAATCCTTCCTCTGCTTGAAGCCTGTGATCTTCTTCATCCCTGACCAGACATCTCTGATATTGTTCCTCTGTAGGTTGTTCTCCAGCTTCTTCCTGTATGCCTCCTTGCTGTCTCTGATCTTGATCTTCAGTTGCTTCTGTATACTCCACAATAATTCCCTGTCTCCCTCCTTGAAGGCTCTTTTTTTCTCATTTAGCAGATTCTTCAGTTCACTGGTGATCCAGGGTTTGTTATTAGTGAAGCATCTCACTGTTCTGGTGGGTATTATATTGTCCACATAGAAGTTTATATAGTCAGTGACACATCCAGTCATGGCATTGATGTCCTCTTCATATCCTTGGCAGAGAGTCATCCTATCTGTGGTCTAAAAACAACTCTGCAGGGCTTCTAAGAATATGGAATGCTGAATATCAGCAGGGGGGCAGATTGGGACAGAATGTCATGCATCCTGTCGCTGTGACCTGATTGATCATGCGCCCTGGCTAACAACATTAACACTCTGATACTGTTGTCATTTGTTAGTTGTACTGCAAATAGCTTTCAAATTGCTTACCTGCCCTTCTCATAGCCGTGTGTCTAAAAAACTGTGCAATAAAATGCCATAAAACATTTAGCAAACCCTTACCTATGAGAAAGTGATCACTGCAAATTCTGGCATTGTCTGATTCTGCTCCTCCTGTTTTCAGCCGGAGATTGTTGATCCACTTCTTCCATCGTCTTTCAGTAAGCTTTTGTAAATTAAGTCCCTGGTGATGCACAACTTTTGGAACACGAAAAAAACTTTTGTTTTTTTTTCGAGATTGGAGCGATTGCTACAACCATAGACAGCACAGACTTTGGCCATTTCGAGGCAGAGTCAACAAAGCAACAACGTTTCTGTTCAGCGGCGTCTACTTCCTGGCCCCCACGCATGACACGCCCACAGTGACGTAGATGCAAAGTAGATGAAACATCATCTGAAACCCAGCAATGGCGGAGTGCTGTAACGAGCCCCGACTTATGTATATGCATGAGATCCACAAGGCACTTTGCATTGACCATTTATGGCAGAAAGTGGGCGTGTTGAGGGCGGGATGTGACTAAAAAGCAGCTGAGAACCTTTCTCGTTTTATAAAGCGGAGGTTGCGTGCAGCTGTGCGTACTCCATGTTTTATATGTCACAAACCTACTTGGCGTAAGTAAATTTTTTTGTTGAGCGTAAGTACGGTTTTAGCAAGGATTCTACGCAGTGTTTTATAAATGAGACCCCAGAACTGTACTGGAATGTTTACTGTGTGAAGGGTCTTGAGATGAGTCTTATTTATTGTAAATAAATTAACTTGAATTGAATTGGATTATTGCTAGGGTACCCAAACGTTTGTACGCATTCATAAGAAAAATTTCTAAACTCCAAAAGTTGCAAGGCTTTGGAATTATAGTTTATATAATCGAATGTCAAAAAAGTTGTTCCCATTTTCCAATAAAACCTATAAAATTTAATGTTCAGTCTGTTAAACTAATTCACAGCTGTTATTTGTAGTCACGTCCAGCAACTCATTAAATTGCCTGCCAACATCAATTTGCTTGCTTTGAACATTTCATTGTGTTCAAACACCGTATCCAACGCTGGAAACAGATGGACTGGCTGAGCTGCCATCCACATGTTTAGAGTAAGCTGCTTTGTTGCCAAAGTGCCTAATTACATGCTTGTCAGACAATCGCCTGCCTGGGTTTGGGGATGTTTTGTCAACAGGAAAAGTATTTTTTTCTTTTCCGTACCAGACCAACGACACTTGGAGTGATTTCCTGTTTCAAACATTTGTGACGCTGCTGAGCTCGGGCAGCACCTCCTCTCGCTGCTCCCTCTAGGTCGTGTCTGAATCAGCACAGTCAAAGGTCCTTTGTTTCCGCCCTGCGGTGGCCTGTACGCTGGAAAATCGAGCAGAGGTGCTTTGATGAACACGACACATCATCAGGAGGTCAAATGTCAGGCTCACAGATTGTTCCCGACGCTTCTGGTCACTTGATTCTATCTCACATCTTGTGTATCTTTATGCTGATTCTGCATGTGTGGGTAGCAACACATAATAAAACCTGTTATTTACAATGTAACTATATATATGTATGTGTAAAATGTAGCTATAACAGAGTACTTTATAAGTACAGTTTATATTTGTATGTGTGAATTATATTGAAAGGTATACCTGGAGAATATATTGGTGTTTTGAGATGCAAAGTCCTGTGCAAAAGTTTTAAAGCGACAGTTCTCTCTGTGTATTTTGCTTCCGATGAGTCAGACTTACCTGTAAGTAGGTTTTTACAGTGTTCTTCGTTATTTTCTCCAGCTTTCAGGTTTTCTTAGGACCACAACACAGTGATGTCCAATCCTGTCCAATGTTTTAGAGATAACCCTAACACACCTGATTTTAAAGGTCACCTCCACTGAAAAAACATTTTCTAATTATTATTTCTGATTATAATTGGTCACTCAGTGTTTCATGCTGAACATGAAAATTGTCTCCTCCACCTTCTGATGGAAAATCGACGATAAAACTTTAAGATTTGAAAAGCCTAAAAGATCTACGTCACACTGTAACTTAACATTCATGGAATCACCCATCTTGACTTGCGACGGGGAAGGCTGTTGTTTTAGCGTCCAGGAAACAGCAGAGAGCATCTCGGCCAGCAGGAGCTAACCATTAGCATTAGCAACTCTACCACATGACAGAACTCCTCCAGGCTTGTGTTATTTGTGGAATTAAAACAGTCATTGGCAGTCATGTCAAATATCAGGAAAAAAGACTCCAAATCTCCTCTAGCTGACTTCTACTTCCTCAATTTATCGCTTGAGGTGGCAGGGGTGATGAGTAAGCACCACCTCCTAAACCATCAATCCTGCTCAATGGTCAACTTTCCTTGCGGAGTCGCCCATTAGGACAGTGGGAGGGTTAAAGTAAAAGGCAAATATTCATTCAATAAAACTTTAGTTTAACTACAGCAGAACTTTCTATGCAATAGTAGTTATGTGTACTTCCACCATTTGCGTCTTTATGACATGTATAAATCTGAGAATGTAATCTGGACTACTTCTTTTCTGCAGAATGCTTTTGTCCAGCTGTCTCTGGCGTTCCGTAACGACAACTACACTCTTGAGACGAGACTGAAGCAGGCAGAGAGAGAGAGGACCCTGACCGAGGAGAACACAGAGAAGGAACTGGAAGAGTTTAAAACAGCTCTGAAGGTTGGTCCTAAAAAGCTAAAGCGACGAAGGTTGTTCGACTTTCTGCACGTGTGACAGAATCTCACGCGTGTTCCGTGATGTTCTTGTGTTTTCTTGCAGATGACTTCTCCACAGTGGCAGAACATGGAGCAGCGTGAGGCCTATCAGCGTCTGGTTGAGACGGTGGCGGTTTTGCTCCGACTCACCACCCGACTCTCCAGTAGAGCAGAGATAGTCGGAGCAGTTCGACAGGTGTGGGTTCTATTAGGACGTTCTGAGGAAACTCGAACCCAGTCGTTTACAAATAATGAAACTGAAAGAAGTCCACTTGCCTTCATCTGAACCCTTTTGGGTTACTTATTTTTGTGCTGCAAATATTTGATATGGGGTTCTTATGTTGACAGAAGAAAATCAACAAACCCATAAATAATCATTCAGAAGACTACTGAATCTCATTTTTTTTTCAATCTTTTATTTTCATTTATTGACATTAAAATAAAAATACAGAACTAAATTGCTGCAAGCCAAAATGAAAAAGGGGACAGAAAGAAGAAAAACTTATGTTGTCTGCCCCTTTTAACTAAAATAACATTAATACAAATGAAATAATCATATGATTCTTAAAGAAATTGAACAATATAGTTCCTGGACTTGTTGGCCGACAAAATCTCAACCCATGAATTTGAGAAAAAAGAAAAGAAAACAATTTACACAGAAAGAAGCATTAAGTTATAGATCTATATATATGCATATATACACATACGAATACATACTAGGTAATTTTTTTTTCCTTTCATACCCCTCACCCCCCTCCCCTCACACATTTATGTAACGGATCTATATAAGTTAATCATTTTATGTTTTATCTCTTTTTGATCAGATCCCCTTTAAAAAACATAAAAAAACACAAGAAAAAGCATTCATGACTCCATGTGAAATTTAACACATGAGAACATGTCATGTGTGGAAAAACATGTGACAACACAGGTTTTGCACATATTTCCCATGTGAATTTTTATGGTAATAACCTGAGATCTACAGAGACTGGTGTGAAGTACATACTGGTACCAGGTACCACATGAATAAGCATTACAACACATGTTCTTCACATCGAATCACACGTTATCTCTTAAGTCACCCCCTAACACAGTTTTACTCCACTCCATTTCCTGTTTGAAAAATGCACCACAAGGAGGCATTGCCTGGCAGACCAAGACAGCGGAGCCGCTAACAAATACATCCACACACAGGCTCACAGCAGCATTGTGACATCATATGGTACCAGCTAACATCGTAGGGTACCTCTTAGCCAATGACGATGGCAGATTTAAATTCAAATGTAATGCAGAGTTTTCACCTGAAGAGGGCGCAACACCGACAGTTTTGGCAGAATATTTAAACTTTAACTAAGATGCACTAAAATGCCAAATTATTGACTACACGTGTCTACAGCACAATTCGACACTCATTTATAAGGTTTATCAGCAAAAAAAAAAAAAGTTGATTTGGGGGTGACTTGCTCTTTAAGGTTATGCAATTAGGAAGAATCAACTTTATGTTTCTGATCCAAAATGTCAAAACCTAAAACTGAAGAAAAAAGTATCCCCTGCATACAATCCTATTAAGCCTAGCTATCAATACCTTGTGAATAGATCAGTGTTTGGTCATTTTTTCCCATGCCTCTTGAGCTGATGGTTTGGGACATTTATCATCAAACAGGAGAAACGTATGAACAAAGCCACTGAAGTCATGATGCAGTATGTGGAAAACCTGAGGAGGACATATGAGAAAGACCACGCAGAGCTGATGGAGTTCAAGAAACACCAGAACTCAAACCGTTATGGAGGATCTCCAGATAATGGAGGTGAGGAGACTCAAGTGCAGCCAACATGGTGTTATAGTTTGTTAATGCTTGTAAAATCAGGTTTTTCTAGTCTGGCAAGTCATGTTTAAATGTACAGTGTGGGCCCGAAGCACTGAAACAGCTCACTCTTAGGGGCAGACCCTACAGCTGTCTATCAAACTGTCTCTGTACGCAACTGAACAGCGCTAGGACCAATCAGAGCAATGAGCAGCATGACATCTTTATCTCTGTAGATATCAATGTGGCAGTTTGACATACACCATCAAAGAAGAAGCAAAATCATCTTTTTTTTGTAACAAATTTGTCATGCCCTTGCTCCAGCCAAGTCCCGTTTCCCCAGCAACCACAACCAGCTCACCATCAACCTCATCCAAACCACCTGCCTCACATTAACTCTTCACCAGCTCCACCTGCAACGTTCCCTATAAAACACCAGGACCAACATCAAGCCAGCGCCAGATTATTGAAAGCATTTGACAGTAGATTCTTCATCACTCTTGACCCTCTGCTCTCGCATCTCAACCCTGTTCTGGGCTTTTGGATTACTCCTTTGCCTACACCCTGCCTGAATTATCTCGTGCATCTGATTACCTGGATTTCTGACGTTGGACCTGGATCCTGGACTCTGCCTCTTACCTGCCCCTTTTTGGAGCTACTCTGATCTCCCCGGCTCTGACTCCCGCTCTCCTCCTGATCAAGCCTCTGCTACAGCCCTTCCTTCAGACTGACATTCCTCTGTGTGTTCCATGATAAAAACTTTAAAGCGCCTTACTGTGTCTCGGCTGTCTTCACGGGTCTCTCCAGTCTGGTCATTACAAAACTGCTTCAGTATCTGCTCATGTCTAAAAGAAAGCCCAAGTTGATAAAGACGTTGCAAAGGAGCTCTGTTCCTGAGCTGACACCATCTTGTTTTTCTCCATCACAGCTGTAGCATCAATCCCGCCTAACAAATACAGAGCGCTGTGATTGGCCAGACACAAAAGTCTTTGAGCCAGTGGTAGACCTGCTGAAGCTACAATGGAGCGCGTCTAGATCGACCCGCAGAGCTAAATCTTTTTGTTACTGCTATGGTTGGTCTAGATTTCTATGCTTTCCCGCTGCACTCAACATTTTTAGGTTGTTGAATTTGTGTCTTTGTTTTTTTAAGACGACGGGGTTCCACGGGCATCGAGATCAATGTCTCTCACCCTTGGAAAAGTAAGGAATACTACTAAGATACTTCCTTTTTTTTCTTCCTCATTCACATTTAAAATAAAGTTCTATCATTTAAATGGTTTTATCTGTAGTTTGATGCTTTCATCCAATCATTCGCAGGCATTGCCCAGACGCAGAGTGAGCGTTGCTGTGGTACCCAAGTTTAATCTCCTCAACGTTCCAGGTCAGAACCCAGTCACTGCAGGCCCAGGCTCAGCTGCAGGACCCACAATAGGTGCTGCACTTCCTGTCCTGGTAGGTCTTCCTGTGCGGCTGTGAAGTGTTGGGAAATGAAACATCTGATGTGAAGACACAGACAAGCCGACCCAAATGGAAGGTCACAGTTGGGTCAGGAGCAGATTCAGCCCATTTTGGACAGAACCATTCATATCTTATCAAAGCATTATGGGTAATTTTGTTGTCAGGTTTCAGTAGTCTTATAAAACACATCTTATTAAAACAGTTTCACATAACTCCGTGTCACTTTATTTATAGAGACATTTAAAATGATGAATCTGCACAGAATAGAATAAAAGATCAGACGTTTATTGTCGTTACACCCAAAGGCACCATACACCACACATAAAACAACACAAAGGTGTAACAAAACATGATAAAGTTTGATAAAAACAAATAAAATTGTGCAATATTCTCTCTGTTACTGACATCTGATATATGTGGGGTCCTCCCTTCACATAAAAGGTAAAACGAACTTATTTTAGATAACTAACATCACGTATATCCTGTCTTACTTAAACTTTATTTGTACAAAATATGACAACTTCAGTTAGGCCAGTTGCGCCAAACAGAAAAAAACACAACCTCTGATTTGTCATGTTTTGACATTTTGAGTGAGAGAAGTAGCTGAAGAGTTTGATGCGTGTGGTATGTAGGTGTTTCATTAAGAGAGTAAAAACCAATACCGATATTTTCTAATGTTTCAATCTATTGCCAAGATCGACCGACAATATCGAACATCCCTAATGCAAAGCAAATGAAAGAACGTGCATTTAAAAAACATTTTAAAGACAGCTAATAAAAGTAATGAAAGGAACGAAATACAAAAGATAAGTTCATAAAATAAAAACCAGTAAAAATAAACAAAAGTAGCTCTACTTCTTAAAAGTCCTCCAGAAAGTTAAGTATCCTAAAAATAAAATCAAAATGTACTATTAAAGGTTGAATATGGAGCAAGGTAATAAAAGGCTGCATTTAAAAAATAATTATACCTCCACGGGACGTTTAGAGGTGTGCAGAATAAAGGTTCAGTATTTCCTTTAAAAGCTACATTTTAATTGAAAAATAATCCCAAAAAAATTTCTGCGGGCACTACACTGGGTTTATGGGTGTTTCTCAATGCCAAGGAACCTTGCCTTGATGTCTTGGCCCCGCCTCGGTTGCCTAGGAGACACGTCATCGGGAGCCGCCAAGGCGTGTTCCAATGTTCATGTTCTACTGAGTCGTGTGTTCTCCGTTTGTTAGCCGTTTAGCTAGCTGAGCGAGGACACACGTGAGGTGTCTTGTAGCCTAGCCTTGATAAAAAATTACCCAAAAGGACGGCGGATCAGAAGCCGGCAGCTACTTTGGAGACAGTTTTCAAGTTTAAAAGCAAGTCAACTAATTTAAAATGTTTTTTTTAGATTCAAAGAAGTTATCTGTTGTTGGTTAGTTGCTTAGTAGTTGCAGCTTCGGTGGCTAGCCGGTACTAACTAACTTATATATTTAATTTAACAAATATATACACAATTTAAAAAGTAAAAGACTTCTTATATATTTATATTGAAACTAATATGTATAAAACGTTATCTCCCGTGTCACGTGACGTTACATGACCGCCGTGGAAGCCGCGGTCACGTGATGCAAGTCTGTTCCATTTAACTGTTTTCTTTGATCAATGAAGGACAGTGTCCTCGCAAGGCCAGTCACCTTGACATTGAGAAACACCCTATGTTTATGTCTATCAGCCACTAGAGGGCACCATTGCGTGTTGTCAAATACAGTAAACTCTCCGCTTGGCACAGCGAGACTGGCACTGTGGAAAACGATGGACTCAGCAAGTCAAGTAGCTGCTTCTGAGCCCAGAAGATGTTCAAACGTTAAAAACTGTTGTGAAATAAACTCATTAGCAGAAATTAGTCCTTACCCTGTACGATTTGTCACTTGGCATGGTGATGGCTGATCACTTCACGTATCGGCAGTGACCCTGGCCTCCCGATGGCTGGAAATCTTGTTCTATTGTTGCAAGTACAACCTCCACACGCTAGATGTCTCTGTGATGTTGGTGTTCCATATTCAATCGTTAAAGGGAAAATATGCTACTTTTTACAATTTTTAAATGATTTTATTGAGCCAGTATGTGCAAAAATTACCCTTCACAGCCGGGTATTCCATATCAGGCCTGGAGGGCCGGTATCCGGCACGTTTTCGTTTTAACTCACCTGATTTCAATAAGCAGGTAATTAAGAGGCTTCTGCCGAGCCTGTTAGCTGCTGCACAGGTGACTCAGCCACTGAATCAAGTATGCTTGAGCAGAGGAACCACCAAAACATGCTGGATACCGGCCTTCCAGGCCCGGGAATGAATCGGATTCAGAAAGGTTTTATTGCCATATGTGTGAGAATCACAACATTAGGAAATTGCTGCGGTACTTAGTGCAGAACATAAAAAATAAACGATAAGGTAAACTTAGAATTAGAATATAAATACAATGAAATGATGATAATATAGGGAGGCAATAATTAGAGAAGCAGCTACTGAATACTACAGAATACCCCTGCTTTACAGGGTAAATTAAATGTTTTAGGTGGTGAACACAGCTGATTTGTTTGATTTAGTGATGGACTGCTCCGCTAGAAACTAATGAAGGCTGAGGAGATGTTTCTACCATTAGATCAAGGTGTTAAAAAGACAAACTCACAGCAAGAAGTTTCACTTTCGGTTTAATCACAGGGAATTAATAATGGACACTAGGGGGTGCTAAAAACAAGCAAAACGGCTAAGTATCCTTTTAACTGTTTGGTAGTTCAAGTGAAGTGACATTCTAAAATGCTGTTTTCTTTAGTGTGAAGCAAACGATGTGAAAGGAAGTCCATCCACCGAAGCAGCACCACCATCAGCAGCAGAGTGGTATGTTCATTTCTTTTTTAACAGAGTCTTTTTTTATTGGGTTTGGGGTTATTAACATTTTTAAAACACAACAGCAAACATCCAAACAAAACACCCCTAACCACCCCGCTACACTGAATCAAAGAAAATAAACATCACAACAGGTTACATGATACAAGTTAAAACACAAAAACAAGTTCATAAGAAATATTTAAATTAATAATCATAGAAAACTATTAACCGGCACATCATCAGAATAGGACATAAAAGAAAACCAGACCAGACTTAGAAACCAAGCCCCTTGAAGTGTGCCTAATCTTTTCTAGGTGTATGTGTGCCATAACCTCTGTAACCCACTGATCATACGCGCTGGGCCAGAGTCTTTTCACTTGGACAGAATGATTTTTTTAGCCAGCAAACAACAAAAGGTGATCACACTCACCTGGCACGTGTCCAAAGCAATCACCCCCCAAAAATAAACTTATTCTCTATACTCATTCTTGGAGCACATCCTGTTGCTGAACCTAGACCTGACCAACTGCAGCAACCCCAGATCATAACACTGCCACCACAGGCTTGTACAGTTAGGCACTAGGCATGACCATCAGTCTGGAACAGGGTCCAACTGGACTCATCAGGCCAGTTTTTAATAAACTGTTGGACAGTTCTTAACCCAATTTTAGTCATTTCTACAATCTCCTTATGTTTTCTCTGCATGACGCACGCCAACGACCTGACCCTTCTCAAACAGACTAACATCTTTTCCACAACCACCAGTTGGGGTTAAATAACTTGTTGCAGCTGAAAGATAATCACCCATGCAGTAATTATCCAAACGGAGGCTCGTATTAGGTTAGTTACATCCAGCTGGCAGCTTTATTTGGACAAGCAGTGTATTTCACGAGAAAGCCTACACATTTAATTCTATTCTTCTTTAGCTGCATTGGTGTTTTGGCTTGTATGTGTGACCTGCAGATGCTTTGCAAAGAAGGACCCCAGTGAGCCAAAACCCAGTGAGGCTTTTGCTAATCTAAATGTTTGTGAGGAGGCTGAAAAAGTCCAGGCCAAAGGCTTCAGTCATATTATGAGCCTCAGTCATCTGAGAACAGTAATAACAACTCAACTTGTAAGCTCAACTTCTTCTGTTTGCGCTCAGCACCTCTGCAGTGGTGTTGATGCACGCCCTCCCTCGGCCGGAGCTGCAGCGTGTCCTTTACTGTCCATGTTGTTTTGATGGAATCTGAACTTTTCTAACATGTGCTGGATGATCGGTGGTGTCCAAGGCTGACTGTTCTCTGCTTTCCTATCTAAAACAATGCAGTGGAAAGAGCGTGTTGGAGCAGGAAAGCGAGCCAGCCAAACCTGCAGTAGATTTGGAGGAGATCAGAGCTGAGATCAAGGCAAAGGTCCAGGAGGAAGCGTACAATAAAGGGTGAGGCCAACTCCTGCTCCTTGATATGTAAAAAACTCTCTCTGGTGACATTTTTATTGCTCATAATTTATCACTTGTGTGTTTTTATTCAGTTTCCTGATCCTCTAAGAGGACTTCTCATAAAATATCAGCTTTACTGTTGATGCAAACATAAATTATTGGTCTGATATAACAAAAAATATCTGTACTTCTAAACAGGTGCCTGCTATACAATCTAAAAAAATGATATTTTAACCTAATTTTGCTCCAAATACCATTTTATATAAAATAAATCTTTGAAGTTTTATGTGATATTAATATATATATATATCACTTTATTTTTAGAATAAACAGCCAGATTCCTTTATATTGGATTAGTTTATTCAGGGTTAATCTATAATGTCTCCTGGATGTAAAAACGTGACACGTTTGATCTGCAGCTACCAAGAGGGGCTGAAGCAAAGCAGAGCACTCCTGGAGGAGAAATGTGAAGATGACAGCGAAGCAGAGAAGCTGCAGGAGCTGAAGCATAAGGATGAAGAAAGTGGAAAGAGGTATAAAAGCAACAGGTAAACAGAATGTACTTCTATTTAAAAAATAGCACATTCTGTAAATTCATTTCACTATTATTCACAGATGTAAAGCTTATGTTAAGTTTATAACAAACATAGAAGAATGATCTCTGAACACTAATTTAAATGATTTAAAAGCGTGGTAATGCTTTCTTTTACTGTCCCCTAACTACTAAGTACTTACTCAAATTCAAAGATACTTTATTAATCCCAGAGGGAAATTAGAGTTTCAGTACACACAATTCTGAGATCAGACATATAAACATACATCAGCATAGACACATGACAAGAATTGGTGACTGTGGTCATTCGCAACAATTAGATTTATTTTTTGTTACAATTTAATGTTAATTTAACATGTGGATGTGATAATATTTAACATACAAAACAAAAATAATCAGTAAATTATCATATAGATAGTAAAAACTTAAACCAAAACAGGAAATTGATGTTAACTTTTGACCTCATTTTCCACCTATGAACGAGTGAAAGGTAGAGCTAGCGGTAAAATGGATCGGTTTTTGTTGCCCAAATTTCCACGGGTTCAATCAGAAACGAATGAATCTTTGGAAGTGATCTCAGACCCACAAAAACCTACGGATCTGGATGAAGAGAGTCAAACCTCAACCGCCGCAGCAGTCGAGGGTTTAGCCGCTGGAAATGCTAACACTAACGTTAGCTAACCTTGCAACACTATAGATGGTTTTCTGTGTGGCTGTATGTGTTTATGATTTCATGGAAAAGTCTGCGATTGTTCATATGTTTGTGATGTATATTAATGATTGTTTCAGGTGTTGTTGAGGTTTTGTGCACGCATGTGTATCTGCTAGTGTTGAAGGTGTTTTAGAGAACAATAGGTACGCATGACCACTTCCTTCATAGCACCCTCAATAAAAAGACTAGCTCCTTCATAGCACCTGCAGGAAAAAAATTTCTGGAGCCGCCACAGACCAGGAGCCCCTTCTTCCATTCTCATTGTTGAAAAAATCTTGTCAATCACGTTGAGACCAGCTGACCAGGTCCATTTTTAATCATTTCCAGTTTACAGAAAAAATGCAGAAGCGCCGTGCACCCAAAGACAGACAAAGAGCCTTGGGATAAGATAGGGAGGAGAGGAGGAAAAAAGCCTCTGTACTCTCCAAGAACTGGAAGAAGATGAAAATACATGGTAATTACATAGTACGTTAAAGTGGATCATTGTTTCTGAGTTCTTAAACAGTTATTACCATGTGACGCAGTTTCAATTGTAGTTTTTATTTTTATTAATCATTCCCAGTAAATATTGCTTTACACAATAATTACACTTTCATTACACAATAATACTTTTTAACTTCTGATGTAATTACCATGTAAGTACTTAGTAATTAGGGGACTGTTAAAGGAAGTGTTACCAAAAGTGTTTGTTATATTTGAAACACATATAAGTCATTAAAGAGACATTGTGCAGTTTTTACCATTAACTTATTCACTGCCAGCCGATTTCTGATCAGAAAGCCTCTGACTGCCAGCGCTTTTGATCATTTTTACTGTTTTTCAAGAGTCACAGAATATTGTGCTCTATGACCAAACACCAAAACTACCAAAAGAAGGAGTAGACTCACATCTTGCATCAGGAAAAATCAGCGTGTTTCTAGCTGTTTCCGTTAAGTGTGAGCTGCCGAAGCTTTTCCGGTTTGCACCTCGCTTTAAGCGTAGCGGCATCCCAAAACAATCTCCTAATTCATGGGTTGTCTGCTTCCTGATTACGTGACGTGTGACACACACGGATGAAAATCAACTTTAGAGCTGTGGTGTTTACTCTCAAGATACAGGAGCTTGTTCCCAAGCCTGCCCTGTTGAAAAAACGCAACTGACGACTTTAGTCATCAATAGCTGAATGAGTTAATCTCTGGGAAAATACATCAAAACGTTGAAAATGAATTCAATTATGTCCAGTTGAAAATTATTGGCGGCTTTGCACCAAAAAACATAAAAATTGGGTCTAAGGTTCACAGGGTGCGGGACTAGTGTTTTTAAGGACGCAACATTAGACGCCATGTTTCCTTCTGGCCGACTCGGGTTCTTTATCTGTCGATGACGTCACACTAGATGACTGGCTGGATGTATGAATTACAGAAGTTACCATGTTCAAAAACATTCAGGTAGTAAGAAACGCAAATTTATTAACTAAACTTCTAAACTCTTTCCAAAACATGCGTGAAAGAACAGAATTGAAAAAGTGATTTATTATATTATGGCTGAGCAGTATTGTCCTAGTATGATGACATCATCAGCAGGCGCAGGGCCCCGAGCAGATCCAGACATTGCAACGCCAGAAAACTACAATCGGCGTTCCATTCTCTCGATCAAATTAAGTGAAGGACCATCAAAGTCTGAGGAATCACGCCGAGGTTGCATGCTTTCTGCTCCAACGTTTACCGTAATGTTTTTCAACTAGTAACAGTCACGGCGATATGGTGTAAAACTACCCTGAAATGTGTGTACTGCCCCCTGGCGGCAGAAAACTACACTCTCCCACTTATTTATTTATTTATTTATTTATTTATTTATTTATTTATTTCATAAAAATAAAGAATAAATTATTCCTAAAATCATTCGGAGACATTTTATATAAAAAATGTCTCAACTGAAATTGTATTTTATTTTTGTATTATTCCAATTTTTCTTTAATTGAATAAAAATTGCATGGAAATTTTTCGTATTTTGCAGACAAAATGCAAATCATCTAATGATAACTGATAAATGAAAACAAAGTGTATTTAGACAGAAATCATAAAGTTTACATCACCTTATCTGGGGGCTTTTTTACTGCCTAATCTCAATAAAGTACTTTACAATGTGTGATAGTGTGAAGGAACATGCACAACCTGAAAAAAGACTTTTGGGAGTAATGTTACCATAAAACTGCATTTAAATGTTGACAGTCATATGAGAATTCCCAAACTCAGATGTCCCACAAAATTTGGACATCTTGATTGAGTGATACATTAAGGAATAATTAGATTTTTGGGGAAATTCTATTAGCTAATGTTTTTATTTTAACTATATAAGAAATACGTGCAAAGTCTTGTCCTGAAATCATACAACGAACTAAAAAAATAAATAAATGCTACTCAATTGTCACTTGTAGTATTTAAATAATTCACTAACGGTAGAAGACATGTAGGATTGGACTCCCCGTGTTGTTACAGGAAGCTCTAATCCTGCTAAAGAGGCTTTAAAAAAAACTGAGATAAGTGAACCAAATCAAAGCCTCTGGCAATCATAGGGTTGAATGTAATAATGGAACTCAAGCAACACATTTAGCTGTTGTGATGTCGTAAACAGCACCTTGGGCCTCCACGAAGATATAGGAAGTTGCTATAGAAATAACGATGAACATTTTCTCTATTTCTCTTCTCAGGAGGATGGTGGAGATCCTGGCTCTTCTCGATCAGTTTTGTCCCAAGTTCTCGGTCACGCGGCGACTCCTTTGGATCTTCCTGTCGCTGTTAGTGGTGATGTGTGTGGTTATCAGTATTTTCACCTTCTTCAGCGACTACTACAATCGGCGCGATGACACGTAAGATGTCAGAGGCTGTTTACCAGACACAGCAAGGCCACTGGACTGAAAGCACAACTAAAAACAAAGAACACCACAAGTCTGTCACGTTGTCACATCGTTACACCCAGACTCACTTGAATGGACCGACCCCGACACTTAAATCAGAGGAATGTTGGGATTACAATGAAACTTTTCTGAAGTAAAAAGACTCATTTGGGTTTAGGGACCAATTCCACAGGAAGATAAATCATGTTTTATTGATTTAGAGGCTTCTGTGAGGACACATTTTGGTACTTTGAAGGATGACCATAGCTCCAAATGCCACAGGAGACAAAAACATATTTATCTACACACTTTTAATACAAAACTACGCATTCAAAGATTTTAAATTTATATTTTTTAACTGTATTATTGTTATTTTCCATAGAAGATATTTAAAATTTAGACAAACACATTGAAAGTAGTTTCTTAAGTGCAATATTTTTGCAGTTGTGGTTTGTGTTATTTTGGATTCTGATCACTGGCAGATTTACTTTCTTATGAGAGCACTTTTCAGATGGTTTGAGTGTCTGTGTTAAATACTTTTTGGAAGTTGTGCTTTGCCTTCAAATAAAGTGTTTAAGAATGTAATCTTTGTCATTTGAATGTAATTTGGGGGCAGCAGTAGCTCAGGAGGTAAACCGGGTTGCCTCATGATTGGAGGGTCGTGGGATCGATTCCAGCTCCCACCAGGGGTATTCTGCTGTTGTGTCCTTGGGCAAGACACTTCACCCAACTTGTCTGTGTAAGTGGTGGTCAGAGGGGCTGACGGCGCCAAATGGCAGCCTTGCCTCTGTCAGCTTACCATCACTTGCAGTGTGTGAATGTGAGAGTGCATGAAAGTGTCTTTGAGTGTCCTAAAAGGCGTTTAATAAGTTTGATGTATTATCATTATTATTATTGTTATTATTAATATTATTGTTAACAATAATAATAATAATAATAATAATACTGATGATGATGATCTAGTTGCATAGCACAAAATAGAGAATTCAAATATTCATTGTCTTGGTTTAGTATAAACAGGTTTGTTGTAACGGTGGCGTCTATGTGCAGCAGGTGTTGGGTTACGGTTAAGTTCAGCAGATATAACTCAATGACTTCCCCCTGAGTCAGTCCAGTGACCGAAACAGTTTAATTAGGGAACCACTGGCAGTGCACGGGCCGCCGCATGTCACTCAGAAACCCCCTTCCATTGTTGGGCTTTCCAGAGTGAGAGAAAGAGCGAGAGAGAGGGAGAGAGACAGAGAGAGAGAGACAGCAAAAGGGAGTATAGAGACCAGGTAGCAGAGGTGGCACCGTGTTCTTACATTCAACCACAACTGAGCTGGACTAGGCTTCACCTGGCTCCCCCTAAACCCTCTCCTGATTAAAGGAGAAGGAATGGGAGAGTGAAGAGAAGTGTAAAGGAGATTGAGATGTTTTGTAGTTTTGGCTATGATTCAAATTGAAGATTTTTTGTTTTATCTATAACCTAATAGATCTTCTTTTCTATGCATTATGAACCAAGGTTATGGTTAGAGTTGAAGGTCTAGGGTTAGGGATGTGGCCCATCTAAGGTTTAAGACGTGTTGTCATTCATCCTTGGTTAGGATTAGTGTTAGTTTATGGTAGAGGTTAGATTTTGAGGCCAAGTGCCTTTAATGAATCTCAATTAGAGCTAAACTGATAGTTCTCGGTTCCCTAGTTGGGGTTTAGATGTATGGTAACTACATTACCTTCCTACAAATTAAATTTATACAAATTTCGGACACATCATCAGCAGTAGACCCAGAAATCATCGAGTGTTTCGGCCATTACCACTGAACACTCTATTCTGGGAAAGCCCGCCAAGGCGATCAACTCTCGGCGTGTGTCCGTTGTGCCCAATTAGGTTTCGTAAAATCCTATTTGAGGTTACGCAAACCCATATTGAGACAAAAAAAAAACTAATAACGGCAGTATTTTTTATTTTAGTCCTAAGTGAACTTGTACTTTAAGATTCTGTTTTAGGCTTATTAATATTGAGGATTCGCTGACTTTAAACACTAGTGCAGTCTATTTGCTTTCACTGTAAACTGACACGAACCCTAACCCTAAATGGAAACATATTTAATTTTCAGCGAGCTAGGGATTGTCAGTTTTTGTCCTTTCAAAATAGAGGACGGAGGGACATACATAGCTACTGTTTACCATTAGTGAGTGTGGGGCTGCTGTGTCTCCAGTGAGCTAGCGCTGCAGCGCTGGCATTTGTAATTCGACTATGAATGGCAAAAAGCTCCAGAATTATTTAAAGAACAAGGGTGACCCAAAAACTATTTCTTGTGCCCTTAAGAAGCCACATCATTTTGTTGTTTTACTCTACTAATAGCTAGAGGCTAACGTTGAGCTAACAATGCTAACAGTGATTTAGAAGCAAATAGTTGGCTCTAAAAATATCTCAAGCTACATTTCTAAACCAACAACTCTAAATTACAGTGAAATGTGTGTGTGAAGTAAATAATGAGACAATTGTGATGCTTTACTTCCTTTAATGAGTCGTTCAGAACTTTAACAGCAAGCTAACAGCAACACTGTAAAAGCAACACTTCCTCTACACCAGAGGCATATTATCGTAGTAAGTGCTCCCTACCATAAAACACTGAAGAGTGAACATCATATGTAACAAATGTGCATTTATCTACTTATCAACTTACTGTGCATGACTCGTCTTTGCTTGTTATCTAGAATCTTCTGGTGCTGATCCGTAACTGGCAACAACCATGAAACTCAGGAGCGAGATTGTGATTGCAGGAACCAAATTTGACTACAGGATGTTTTACAGGTCACGTGACGATTCAAGTGATGAATTAGTTACGGATTGAAAATTAATTTAGCTGCTTCAGATTCAGATGTCAAGACATTTTTATTCAAGGTTTCCCAACATGTTCAAAGTCTGCTATCACAGAGGGGTTTCGTTATCTCATTTGGGATCCTTCAGTTTCACCCAAAACCCAAACATCCGTTCAGATTTGTCCATCTTTGAGTTGTTGTGTGTCACGCTCACTAACCTCGCTGACACCCGACAAAAACACAGCAAAGCCTTCGTCAGCACACTGCGTCATTTACTGCCTTCGTGTTTTGTAGAGGGATGTGTTTTTGTTGAAGCGCCAAAGGCCCATTGGAGGACACCAGAGATAACAAGTGCATTTGTGATTGAGTAATGTCTCAAGAGAGGAAATCCTAAGGACAGGAAGGAAATGAACTTCAGTCTCACAAAAAGGTCAACCAGCTTCTACACTGCTTTGTCCGAGTCTTATTGTTGGTGCCTAATTATTTTTTTCTCAATCACACGTTTAATTCGAGGACTTGTGTCTGCATTTCCTCACACCTCTATCTCTCCTGGAACATAAGATGCTCATGTTCTGACCTGTGCTCTATACTTCCTCCTTCCTTTTCCTTTTCTCTCCGGCTATGACCGAGTCCACACACCCCAGAGAACACTCATCTCTATTTAACCGAGTGAAATCCGGCCGCGCTGGTTCCTCCTCGGCATATTCTCCGCTCTCAGCATGAACATCATCTGGCTTTGCATCACGTCAGTGTTGTGTTTTACTTCAGTTTTTTCTGATCAGAACACACGCCACATCAGAGGTAAGTCAAATTCTCAGTAGAATGCAAAAGGGTTTTGACATATCTGAAATGTCATGCTGCACCCAGTTTTCCCAGCAGAGAACCAGAGCATAGCTGGAGTGGTCCAGGTGAGCTACGCGGACAGCCGTAACCAGCTCCAGTATGCCTTCAATGCCTCTGAAGCCCGGAAGTTCTGCAGGTCCCTCAGACTGAGCATCGCCTCCAAAGCACAAGTAGAAGCAGCTCTGAGGAGAGGTTTGGAAACGTGCAGGTGAAAACGTAGAAGGTGCTGCATGAAGCCTCCTCAGCAAAAACAAAAAAGAGAAAAAAAAACACACTGTTCTGTTTGGTTTAGGTTTGGATGGATTGATGAACATTTTGTAGTCATTCCTCGGAAAATGGCTCTTCCTAACTGTGGAAGAAACCGGACTGGGCTGGTGCCATGGAGAGTCACGGTCACAGCAAAGTTTGATGTGTTCTGCTTTAATGAATCAGGTACACCACCTCTTGTAGCTTCAATGAAAACAATTGCATTTAATATTAATTTAAACCAGAATATGCTAAATTAGATTAATGGTAATAAACAGAACTAATATTTTTTATAGCTTTTAAAATATTATTTTAATTTAATCTGAGTAGTTTAGTTTTCAAAGGTGTGGAATACTCAAAAAAACATTTTTTATGATTATTTCTGATTGTAAACAGCCACTTTGAGTTTTTCAAGCAGGCTGAACATGAAAATAGTCTCCTACACCTATCTCCTGCATCAGCTTCTGATAGAAAATAGGATTTAAAAATCCTGACAGATCTACGTCACACTGTCATTTGAAGCCATACTATGCAACTTTTTCATATTTTTTAATAATTTTCTTGAGCCAGTAAGTGCTAAACTGGCCCTTTACAGGGGTAATGAAATGCCACCCAGACCCTATCGCCCTCTGTGGCCATAATATAGCACTTGCAACTTCAGACTGGTGGGCTGCTCTGTTGGGACTTGGAAAAAAATTGAGCTGCCATATCTGGTGCTGCATCTGCTTCCAGCAAGTTTCCTTCATGTTTTAGATCAACACAGCTGATTTGTTTAATTTAGTGAAGAATCACTCCTGTAGACACTAATAAAGGCTGGGGAGACATTGTAGCTGTTGGATTAAGGTGTTAAAAAGACGAACGCACAACAAGGTTTTGCTTTCGTTTCTACAAACGGACACTGGGGGGGGGGGGGGGGGGGGTAAAAACAAGGGCTCCCCTTAACCATTCATGGACTCACCCATCTTGACTCATGACTGGGAAGGCTGCTGTAGGTTTAGTGTCCAGGAGACAGCAGAGAATGTCTTGACTAGTAGAAGCTAACCATTAGCGTTAGCAACTCCACCACACAGCAGAACTCCTCCAGGCTTGTGTTATTTGTGGAGATAAAACATCCGTGTTTCAAAGCAAACAGAGGCAGCGGTAGAGTTGCGTTTTCGTTTTCCAATCCAGGGTGAGATGTCCAAAAATCAGGACATAAGACTCCGAATCCTGCCGTGTTAAGCTCTCTGCTGAAGTGGCTCACTTCTAGTTCCTTAAACAAACGCATCTCTGCTTTTTTAACCTTCTGCAAGGTATTCATAACTACTAGAGACCACTGAAATGTATTGACTAAATGAGAGTGCTATACCTTTAAAATTAGGTAAGAAAACATGTTTTTACAAGTTTATTTTAAAAGATTCTATCTACATTTATTTTACTACATAACTTTCCACAGATGCAGCAGAACAAATGACGGACACATCAACCCAAAGCAGCGAGTTTTACTCAGAAAGCACTCAACCTTCTTCTGTGGTTTTAAACTCCACCCTGACTACATCCTCAACACATTCCACCTCCCCTTCCTGTCATCCTCCTCCTTCTTCTTCTTTATCAACTCCTATAACTACGAACAATGAGGTTGAAGCCGCCCGATCTGTTGGCAACACACACGGATCAACAGGAGGTAGGAAACTCAGCTGTGGCAAAACTTCAATAAAAACCAGCAACGAATCACAAATAAGTGTTGATTTTTCATTTTTGCTCCAGCAAAAGCTGTGCTCATCTCCTGCACCTGCGGTCTTCTGATCTCCGCAGCTGTTCTTGCTTACATGAAACTGTAAGTAATCAACTCTGAGTGTTCTGAACTGTGAAGGCGAAACATGTTAAAAATCCCTTTCTCTGTTTCTCCTGATGAAAAAGGAGAAGACGTTGCTCCGACAAGAAGCAGCAGAAAGACTACATCCAGACAGAAGAGTGGATGTGCGTGAAAAACATAACAGAAACTAAGACAGCTGTTCAGGAAGATTAGGTAATAGAAGTGGGAGACGGGTCAAAACAAGGTTTTTTTCTATGAAAACAAAACTTTTTTTTTCTCTCCCTCTCTTGTTTGAACAAGAATTTGTGCCTTGATTTATGTTTAAAACCATACTATGCAACTTTTTCATATGTTTGAACTGTTTTCTTGAGCCAAAATGTGCTAAAAAGACCCTTCACTTAGTTAATGAAATGTCACTCAGACCCCCACCGCCCTCTGTGACCAGAATGCCGCACTTGCAAATTCAGAGTGATGGGCTGCCACCTGTTGGAGTGAGCTGACATAGCTGGCGCTGCAGTCCTGCATACATTTCCTGCATGTTTTAGATCATGAACAGCTGATTTGTTTAATTTAGTGATATATCACTCCTGTAGACACTAATAAAGTCCAGGGAGATGTTTTAACTGTTAGATTAAGGTGTTAAAAAGCAAAAGCACAGCATTATAACGGACACTAGGGGGTGCTAAAAGCAAGCAAAACTGCTTAGTATTCCTTTAAGTAATGGGATTAATTTTATTTTGTGTATTTGTTCTTCATCTTTTGCATCATTTAATGAAAATGTTTCAGATCTAATATTTAGGTTCCTCATATAAAAAGATAAGCTTTTGTGCTACATTAGGTTGTTTTTTTTAAATCTCGTAATCCATGCTGAATCTTTAAAATAAAAAATGAAACTTTCAGATATCACACATCTATGTTCCAGCTATAAAGCGTTCTTTTTTTCTGTAAAACAACTGAAATGTGTGTTTTTTCAATGGCAAAAACAAGATCTGACAAGTTTATTCCACGCCTTTGTAAATTGAATCGTAAAGTATGTGTCTTCTTTATCACTCTGTGATGGTTCATCTTTGTTTTTCTAACAGAAAATATTTGGTGTATGTTTAGTTTACCATTAAATGCAGCAGGGGCATCTTTCATAATAAAGTCAGCTGATCATCCACATCTGCAGCATGCTTTGATTGGTTCCCTTGTATTCCCCTCAATAGGAGTCAATGGCCTCCGACTGCACAGAGTTCACTATAAAGCTGAGCTCATTGCACAACATCTCGTGTCTGTAGGCCGTACGGATCTGGGCCACGTTGGTCCGGCGAATGTTGTTGCCTTTGTGTCCATCTTTTAGGTAATTCGACCCCAAAAAGAGCTTTTTTCCTTAAAGAGATGAGTAGAAATTGATCTAACGGTTGAATCCTTTTCCAGCTGATTTGATTGTGCATGGAGAAACTGCTACCTGGTGACTCAGGCCACTCTGCAGCACGCTGCTCCTCGCTATTTCACAAACATCACAGGTACTGAGGTTCCACACCTGCGCTGCAATAACGTACTCCTCCATCAGCGGTTCCTAGAATCTATGGATCAGAACTCTGATCTCTGCAGGACTAAACCTGACTGCTGCCCTACGGTGTGTTTTTCCTTGGTGTAGTGAAACTGCATGGGATCGTCTGTGGACAGGTACACACACAGACCTTTGTGCAGGAATTCTCTGAGGGTTTTCTTGGAATATTCCAGGAAAAGGCTGTTGTTGCTCAGTGGAGACATAGCAATAGGCATCTGGGCCAGGTAGCACAGGTGCTGCAGCACTTGACTCTGAGGGATGTTTAGAAACATAAATTCTTTAATTCTCACAAAAGATTGTCCCTTCCCAGAAAATGAAGCTAAGCTTAGATATGTCTGTAAAATGATCAAACTTATCACCATAAAATCTTTTCAGTATGTTGACATTTATCTGTCAGCACAGCCGTGGTGAGGCTGTGTCAATTCTCTTATTGTCAGGTTTAAACCCCTAAGACATCACACACAAAGAAGGAAAGAGACACAAAAGTCAGAATTCTGTTTTATGCTCGAGGAGAATGGGAATAAGGTCCAACCAGCACAGTCTCCACTGCACCGGCAGATCCTCCAAAACCACTCTGCCTTTGAAATCCAAGCATCCTCTATTACAAGCTGGGAGTTTTTCATTTCATTTATTTACTAGATTCCCATTAGCTGCTGCTTCGTACAGCAACTATTCTTCCTGGGGTCCAACACCACAATACAGCAACCAATATTTACATTAAAATTCACTCAAACATTCTCACATCACAAAAAAAAAAAAAAAACACTAAAAACATCTGCTCAAATTACACAATAATTACAAACCATGGCAAAAGCTGCATCAGCCATTTCAGACATTTCCTTCACATGTTCAATCACAATTCCCATAACTAAAACATAAATCTAAGGCTCTTCTTAAGATAGTAACACATTTACTGCTGTCTCAACAAAAATATATTTAACTTCTTTTTGTAAGTAATTAAATTATCCTCCAATACTAGAAAGTTAGGTAACGTGTTCCAAGCCGCCATTGCTCTGTTACTCACAGTTTTTTGTTTTAAAGTTGTTCGACACCTAGGTAACACAAACCTATAGAGTGACGTTTGCCTAGTGGAATGAATATGTATATCTGAGAAGACTAGGAATTTTCTGTAAAATAACTCTGGTGCTTTAGTCATCACTACTCTCTTAACAAAACACAAAAGTGAATACTTCATTCTATTTCCACATGCAACCATGATAGACGAGAATTCATTACACTTATACTAGTGCTATATGAACACTGCAAAGCCAGACGAGCCACTTTATTCTGAGCTACCTGTAATCCGGCCAAGTTACCCATTGATGTACTCGACCAGACTAGAGAACCACAATCCAGATATGCAAATACTAAAGCTTGGACTACTTGCCTTAGCAGTTGATTAGACATAGACTACCTGCAGTATCTAACTACAGCAATCCCTCTTCCCATTTTCATCAATACCTGGTCAACATGATTATTCCATGACATTTGGTTATCTACTATCACCCCCAATAAATGAACATCCGTGACTTGTTCTATTTTTGTGTCACCTACCATCAGCACTAACCTTGGGTTTTCTTTTAAGGAATATTTAGATCCTAAAATAATACACTTTGTTTTTTTCTTATTCAAAACTAATTTATTTCTTGTCATCCATGTGTCTATTACTGCTAATTCCTCATTTAGAATCCTGTTTAAATCCATATCTGTATCTGCAGAGGCATGGATTGTGGAGTCATCTGCATACATTGTAATAGTAGTTTGATGTAAACTAAGAGGTAAGTCATTGATAAAGACTGAAAACAACAATGGTCCCAGAGCGCTCCCTTGTGGCACCCCACAGCTCACCACTACTTGCTCAGAATAACTTCCATTGAAATATACTATATTTTTCCTATCTGATAGAAAGCTGTTCATCCATGTTATGTATGGAGCTAGGATTGGGACAATATTCAATGTAACTTGTACCAATCCTAGCTCCATAGTGATGGCAGTCAATTCAAATCGATAGCACTGCAACTTATCCAATAACACATCGTGATCTAGTACATCGAAAGCTGCACTTAAGTCTAACAGCACTGCACCAACTAATTTTTTATTATCTATTTCTGTCTTCCAATCATCAGTCATCTGCGCAAGAGCAGTAGCCGTGGAGTGCCCTTTCCTGTAAGTGTGTTGATATACTGAATTGAGTCCATTTATACAGAAATATTCTTGAATTTGTTCACATATTACTTGCTCCATTATCTTACCAAGAGCTGGTAGTAAACTAATGGGTCTGCTATTTTCTCCAGAAACCGGTTCTCTATTGTTCTTTGGTATTGGGATTATTTTGGCTATTTTCCATTCAAATGGATAAACACCTGCTCCTAGACTTGTATTAATAATGTGAGCCACAGGTATTGCAATTCAATCAGCTACCGACTTTAACAACTTCATCTCCAATTCATCAACTCCAGCTGGTTTTTCTTTACCATCCTGAAGTAATTTTGCTATTTTATCTGCATCTACAGTCACAAAAGAAAATGTACATGTCTTGTTTGCCATAATTTTCTCTCTCATTAATTGTGTGTGTGTGTGTCCGTCCGTCCGTCCGTCTGTCCTATTCTGCACTGTAATGTGGAACTTTGGCCAAGTATCTAATTCATGGTTACTTTGGAGAACGAGCACCATGGTTCATTCATTCATTATCTCACTGTGAAACCCATCGGATGCCATTAGCGCACCACTCAGCCACATCCCAGACCCATTTCTCTGCATTCTCCTGTTTTAATCTGGTCTCACATCTTCTGTCTCTCTCTTTGTCAAGGCTGTATCTCAAGGATGGGTTGACAACACACGAGAAAGCCTTTACCGCTTTACCGGGAAAGTATTGAGAAAGAGAGAAGCTCACTTGTTCCCAAAGAGCCACTGGACTGTTTCAAAAGAGGCGTGTCTCTTCTTCTCATCTTCCCCTGTGGCCGGGCCCTGGAGATATCTATAAAAAAAAGTCAGTCTCGAGTCAAGTCCAAGTCAAAGACAACCAAGTCCAAGTTAAGTCCAAAGTCAATGATGTGGAAGTCCTGTCATGGTCTGCATCTGCGTCTCCCCTCATGTGTCTCCTTGTGTTCTCCATCCCTCTCTAGGTTCTCCTTTTGTGTCTCCTATCACCCTCATGTGTCCTTGTCTGCATCTTCCTCATGTGTCTCCTGGTGTTCTCCATTCTTCCCCAGATCTCCAGCCCTCTAGGTTTCCCTCAGGTATCCCCCTCCCAGGTCCTGTGCTCCCGTGGCCCCCTTTAGTCACGCCCCTGTAGTTTTTCTTTCTGTAGAGTTTTTCCTGTAGTTTTCAGCTCCCCCTTAGAATATTAGTTATGTTTGCTGCCCTTCTGGTCTTTAGGTTTTTCCCTTAGGTCATGTTAGTTTCCTCCCTGATTAGTAATTAGGTTCACCTGGTCTCTCTCTCCCCACACACCTGCAGCCCATCTCCCTCTCATCCTCCCCAGTGTATATAACCCTGTCTGTATCTCAGTCCTTTGTCGGTTCATTGTTTCTTGTCAGTCTCGTCTCGTTTGGCTCTCTAGTTTCTAGTGTTTTTTTGGATCTCTGGTTAGTCATTTGGATTTTTTTGTTTTTGGCTCCCTGACTTTTGGATTACTCCTAAATAGAGGATTTTATTTTCATCATCTACCTCCTGCCTCGTTCATCTGGTTTCCTGCATCTTGGGTCCTAAACTTCCTCCTGCCCTACTCGTGACAGGTCCAAATCAAGTCCAAGTCCTTAACATTGAATTTTCAAGTAACAATCAAGTAATCTGTTCAACTTTAATTTAATGACGATGATAATAAATAAATTCCAGAAATGAAGCTTCTTAAAGCTTCATTTATTTGCTCAAACAAGCAGGAAGTGAAGCTGATTGTAAACAAAGTGCTGCTGAATTTAACAGTACAAGATCAAACCCAGAACCAAGAATGATTCATGATTTTAGTCCATGCCGCGCTACTCTTGTGCTAAAATATCAAATATGCTTAAGTCATCATCAAGTCAACAGATACAAGTCAGTTCAAGTCGCAAGTCATTGGCATTCATGTCTGAGTCAAGTCGTAAGTCTTTATAGATTTTATCAAGTCATGTCAGAAGTCATTAAAATAATGACTCGAGTCCAAGTCTTGTGACTTGAGTCCACACCTCTGCTATCTACATATCTAATATCACACATTTTAAAACTTTAAAGGGATATTCCGCCCTAAAGTTTAATTTAGTCCGTTGCCATATTCTCCAGAGTTGGATAAGTGGGTAAAAGTTTTTTGTAACCAGCCCAGTCATTTTCCTAATCTGGCAGTATTCTGCTAGCTTAGCATAAACACTGTAAGTGAATGGTAACAGCTAGCGCTGCTGTAAGCCGCTGATGAAGGCTACAAGAACATTATGCAGCGGTGTGACGTCTGGCAGACATTATCACTTCTGAGTTTGCTGTGTAACATTTACAATATTTTACCCTAATGGCAGTAAACAGAGAGTTTGGGGCCGCTGCGTCATGTCCTTGTGCCTTGCAGCAACGGCATCCGCCCATTTTCAGCTGCTTATCCGGAGATGGGTGTCGGGGACTGCAGCCGAAGCTGAGAGGCCCAGACTTCACGTTCCCCAGGAACTTGGACCAGCTCCTCGAGGGGAATCCTGGGAATGTCGAGAGTCCACCTAGAGCGGGTACTGCATGCCTTTGTAATTTCTAGGCTTGACTACTGCAACTCTCTCTATGCAGGGTTGTGTCAGTCAACACTGCGTCGCCTACAGGTTGTGCAGAACAGCGCAGCCAGGTTCCTGACTGGGACCATGAAACGGGACCACATCAGTCCGGTTCTGGCCTCCCTGCACTGGCTTCCGGTTTGCTATCGCTCGCAATTCAAAATCCTCGTCTTTGTTTATCATTTCTTCCAGGGTGGTGGTCCCCCCTATCTAGCCACACTCCTGAACAGACATTCCCCATCACGCGCTCTGCGCTCCTCTGACCAAGGCCTGCTCGCTGTCCCTCATTCTAGGTGTCGTACCCGTGGGGACCGGGCTTTCTCAGTCCTAGCACCGTCACTCTGGAACCAGTTGCCACCCTCAGTTAGGCTGTCCCCTTCTCTGCCAGTCTTTAAGAGTCGCCTAAAAACACACCTCCTCCGCTTGGCGTTTCCAGAACATGTTTGATTTTGGCCCTCTTTTATGTTGAATTTATTTCACAGTTTTCATTGGTTCACTTTATCCATTGTTTTACACATTTGTCCTGTACCAGAATGTTTAATCTATTTTGTAATTTGAATTGCTTTTATTGTTGATTTATTCAATATATTTACCTACAACTGAACCATGTTCAGCGCTTTGGGCTTCCTGACAGGGTTGCGGAAGGCGCTTTATAAATAAAGCTTTGATTGATTGATTGATTGATAATCCTAAGGCGTTCCCTGGCCAGCCTATAGTCCATTCAGCGTGTCCTAGGTCTTCCCTTGGGTCTTCTCCTGGTTGGACGTGCCGGGAAAACCGCACCAGGGAGGCGTCCAGGAGACATCACCTCAACAAACTCCAGTCTAATCCCTACTTCAATTTAAGTTAGGCAAATAAAAAAGTGCTATCTTTGTTTAGTCAAACCTCAGATCTGTCGTGTTTTTGTGCTTTGAGTGACAAGAGAAGTAGCTGAAGCCATCTAACCCAAAAAGGAAAGTAAAAGTATGAAATTCAAGCAAACTAACAAGAGCAACAATGCCAAGGTGTTTGATCTTGGACCTTGAGGGCCACCATCCCTCATGCTCTAGTTCCTTTCCTGATCCAACACAACAAATGAGTAGGCGAATCACCTTCTCTGCATGGCCTCAAAATCCACTGCAAACCAGGTGTGTTGATGACCGCGCCTGTCATTCAAGATCAAATCACAGTGTTTATAACACATGTAGAGAAGACGAAACAGTGTGACACGGTCGGCGCGGCTCCTTACATCACCTCTGCAGACCCTGATCTCATGGTGTGGCTTTAAGCAGCAGGTGGCCCACTGATTTAGCCCTGCAGTGATTTGGATTATGAGGCTAATCCCCTCAGATTAGTTTTGGGAGTTAGCTTTAGTCAATTTACTCTTAGTCTTGGGCCTGTATCAGTTTGATTGACATCAGTTCTGTCCCATTTATTCATCTGATTATTCCTGCAGCCTTTTGCTCTCTTTCTTGTCTAAAAGCTGTGTTACAGAGCAGTGCAGCAAACTGTCAGCGAGCAAGCATTCGCCTGCTCTACCTCCATTCGGCCTTTTTTAAATTTTTTGTAGTTATTCTGTGACTGTAGACACAAGAGTGCTGCGAGAATAAAAAAGCCTTAAAGCTTACCACACTAAGTTCTTGAATGAACGTATTGTTTTTACTCGTTGACCCAGACTGATCAGTTTGATGATGCTATCAGCACGTCAGTGGCGTCACCAGCTGATTGGCTTACTGAAGGAGTGACACCTTCACACAGCTAGAAAGTACACTGAGTACGTCCATTCATCCTATTCCTGGACTGATTTTACCTGGACGACAAACACTGTTTGTTCATTCTTATCTTGATGCTTTTAATCCAGAAGCACAAGTGTTAAAAATACATAAGAGTAGGCTACATAATATTTAATCAGCCACTAGATGTCATGCTTGTTGTTTTTCCCCCTGCTATGGAGGCTTCATCTCATGCAATAGTGAGACAGTTGCTACAAATCATGGAGACTTAATACTCTGACCACTGGAGAAAATATGCAGATGAAGACTAAAACATCTAGGATGCAGATGAAGTGACTAAAATGTGTATGCAAAATGAAAATGTTATGGAGCGCACATGTGGCTGCCAACTTTCACTTGCACTAATGCAAAAATCTAAAGTTCAGCAGATTATTCCGATTTGATTCAAAAATGATGTGAACTCTGAAAGCCTGTCGTCAAACAAAACAAACAGGATTTTAGCCTTTTCAGTTCGCTTTAACTAGTGAATAAGATTTAATTTCTTTATTTCTGGGCGACGGTGGCACAGGAGTTAAGTGCTCGCCCCGTAATCAGAAGGTTGCAGGTTCAAGCTCCGCTCAGTTTGTTGCTGTCGTTGTGTCCTTGGGCAAGACACTTAACCCCCCTGACGTGCTGGTGGTGGTCGGAGGGATCGGTGGCGCCTGTGCTCAGCAGACTCGCCTGTCAGTGCGCCCCAGGCCCCCCAGCTGTGGCTACAATGTAGCTCATCACCACCAGGGTGTGAACATTTGTGTGAATGACTGATTGTGTTGTGAAGCACCTTGGGGGGTTCCAGGACTCTAGAAGGCAGGCCATTTACCATTACATCTTAATAAATTGCAAATGTTTCTCATCTGTATGGGGATTTCATATGAAAACATCATTGAGTTGCATTAAGTTAGGTTGATAAAACAACTGTTTTATTTCTGCCCTTTTTCCATCCAGTGTCTCTAGGTGGCGACAAAGATTGAAGAATTGCACCTTTGGCTCAGAGTTTGTTTCAGTGCGACCTTCTTATTTCATGGGTATGTTTCGGATAATAGAGTGCCTTGGGTATTAAAGAACCTTAAATTAGTTCCCTGATTTAGAATGAAAATCATGATGACAGAATTTTGTTCCTAAGCAGGATGGGAGATTTTAAAAAGTTGAACATATCATTTTTGATAAAAGTAAAGGAATTCCTTATCATGTGTCATTGGTGGAAAAAGAGATCTGTGACTTTCCCATTTGGGATGCTCTGACAGGAATGTTTGACCGGAACACCCCACCGCCCCCCTGCGTTAGTCTTCATCTGTCCCAACCACGTACCATTGAACCCAGATGGAGCCAAATGTTCATCCTCCTCCTCTAGCTTTAGGGCTGTTCAGTGGTGATGAAGGGGGGTGAGCCAACAAATGTGAGCTGAACCTATCAGGAATGTGCTATTCCAGGCGCCCTGTCTGCCCTTCTCTTAAGCTGGAGGTTGGGGGTCATAACTGGGGAAGGATGTGGTAAGAGAAGCCTCTAATGAGAAGCCTACCAAGTTCTCAGCGCCCTCATTCCACGTTTAATGTAGAACAAAGCAGATGACAAGGTTCAGGTTTTTATGCAAAAGGTTTAATAAATGACATTATTACTGCATTCGCACAAATAAAATAACACATTTGCAAATATAAAAAACATTATAAAAAAATACCAGTTTGCAAAGGAATAATGGCAAATAGCTACAATGCCCATATATAGAATTCTTCCTGTACAAAAATAGCTTTAAGTACTTAATGTAATTTCTATATAATATTTAAATAAAGGAATTCATATTTACATATATTCAAAAAATAGATAAAACATTTGATTGCACATGTTTTTTGAACAGTTTTCAAGTATATTTCAGTCCATCATGGACTGGCACATATAGCGCACAGGATCTAAGGCATCTTCTCTTTTACAGTGTCCAAAACTCAACATGAACTGATCGTGTCGGAGCTCTGTAGCCTGTTTGGCAAAGTGATGAGGAATTCTTCTCCTGATGATTTGTTTTCTAAGTCCAAAAGAAAAAGTGCAGACAGTTTTTAACAGTTAGATTGGACATGGTGGTATAATCCTTTGAGGATAGCACTTAAAAATAAGTCTTGACCTTGAGGAACAATTGTGTAAAGTCTTATAATGTTAGTGTCAAGTTCCCTCTTTAAGCCAGAAGATGTGCTCACTTTGACACTTTGACAGGTATTTGCACTCTTCCTTTTTCTCTGCCAGGCAGAGAGCAGCACCTGTAGTTCATTCCCCCACTGTGCCGTCCAGTGTCTTTAAGCCAGCTGCAGTCAACTGCAGCCTCCGCCCGTGTTGCTGAGCTGCAAGGCTCAGCCTGCAGAGAAGCTCAGCTGCAGCCAGTCTGACTGCCTCATGCCTGGAACAAATGTGCTGGAGTATGCTTGGCAAGAGTCTGAGGTCTGAGGCATTTTGTGAATTCAGGGACGCAGCAGAGAGGACACAAGCTTGAGTGCAACTCCCTCACTTTTGTTCCCTGCTCCTCTCCCAAAGTCCTTCTCATGTCCTCCTGAGGAGAGCCTCCAGCTTGTGAACTTGAGAGATATTTGTGCTCCAAACGGGTCTCAGCCTGCCCTTCTCCAGCCTCAGTGTGACTTGCCGCCCTGGAAGAGACCTGCGCCTCCGGCCGTATCCCGTAGGGCCGAGCTTGGTAGCAGGGGCGGTCCCGGCCTTTGCCTTGTTGTTCGTGAGCTCAAACAGGCGGTGTGCCAAGTCGTGCACTGCACAGGTAGCCAGTGAGCAACCCTGCGGTCTGGACTGGGGACCTGACCTCTTGGTTCGGATGTTGATGTCAGTGCTGGAAGAGAAAAGACAGATATTATTAAGAGCCATTCATCCCAAAGTATTTGGAACTGAGCCTATTTCTTCAAACATTTACTTTTCCTGATTGGAGAAGCATGAATTACCTGGAATGTGGCAGCAAGGTGTCCCTAATGTCCTGCGGTCTGACGAAGGTCGCCGACTCGGCAATCTTCTCCACTTCAACGCCCCGTCTCATTCTGCTCCCTAGCCACATGCTCAATCTGCAAAAGAGAGAAAAACATTAAGTGGAAGGTTCGGCAGGCAGAGATTGATTAGACTTTGCATCTGATAACAAAATAGAAATGTCTTTGCAGTCGACTCACCTTTTTCTCAGCTCAGGATGCACCTCAAGCTCCACACAGTGAGCTACTGAAGCCAGCAGACAGCAACAGATGAAGGAGTGGATGATCGTTTTCATTTTGGCTCCTGTAGGGGAAAAAAAAAAAAGTTTTTCCATTAGTTAATTAGTTACTGAAAAAAGCATTAATGATTAGCTGCAGAAAAGTCTATAGTGTCCCCATTTGCATGTAAACTACCTTGTACCGCAACCTCGTGAGTACAGCTGTTTTTTTTTTTTGTTTTTTTACCCAAGAGTCCAAAAGCCACGCAATTTGCACACATCATTCATTTATTTAAAAAGTTAAGCAAAGGTCAGAAATGTCTCAGCTGAATAAATCTGCAACCACACTTTGGGCCATTAGCCAGCCATGTGAAGGACACCATCTACCAACAGAAATCTAAAATAAGCTCAGCTGAAATGTATTAGATGGCATTATTGCATTTGCAAAAAGAGACAAGAAGTGATGCAGGTGATTGCTTCACACACGTTAAGAGCTGAACTGCTTATATAACCAGACAGATAACCTGCTCTTACACACTTGTGCCTTGACCTCAAAAAAGCAAAGGATAAAGCCATCAGCTGGCAGCACAGTGAATGAAATCAGCCTGCGCTAAAGCACAGTGCACATACCTGGTGTGTGACTCCGCTGGGTGAGAAAGCGCTTCTTCCAAAGTCAGCTGTGAAAGAAAGAAGGAATACTCCACAAGTTTCTTGAATTTGCTTCTGGTTCTGTAAGGCAGCTGTATCACTCTTCTAATAGCTTCTCCACGGCAGACAGGGAGCCTTTATACTGCAAGAGAGTGGGCGGAGCTACACACATACACCCCCCTTGGTCCCCATCCAACTCCACTGTGCTGCTCTTGGTGCAACAACACACACAAAAAAACATCTTTTATCATTTCAAAAAGCTGTACTAAACAAAGATTTATAAAAAAAAAACAGATCTCATGTACCAAATATCATTCTGTGTTTGTTTTCTGTAATTCTTCATGTTTTAGTCATAAAAAACTTTCTAAACAAGTATTTAGTTGTAGAATGACAACTATGACAGACTAACACTGCAAAAACTGATTTCTAAGAAAGTAACAAACGCCAAATCTTTAGATATTTTATCGTATTTTTAATATAAAAGGAAAATAACTCAAATAAATCAAACGTTTAGATTATTCCGCTAGTTTTAAGATTTCTAGCCAAGCAACTCTTGCTCACCCAATTGCAGATTTTTTTACTCAAAACAAAAAAAAAGTTTGATCATATTTAAGAACGTTTACCTTATTTCAAGTAACGTTATTTTTCTAGAGGTGAATTTGCTTTTCTTTGGGTCTTTTTTTAATGTTCTTGGAAATCAGTTTTTGCAGTGTATAATTTAGTTGTTTGGGTCAAACACAGCGCACCCCATTAGGAATACTACATTTTTGTCTCAGCTGCTTTATTAGAAACCTTAATAAGAGCTGTTCATGTTGTGATATTTAAGCTTTGTTTTTATTTTTTTTACACATAGTTTTTGTTTATGCTTCTTTCAGCCCCTCCGGCCAGTGGTAGAAAACAGCTTTAGTGGAATGTTCCAGCTCTCTGGTTTTCAGGGCACTCCTCGACACGGTGAAGTTCCATTTAAAAACCCCATGACTGTGATGTAATTAAGGCAAAACACAGCAAGTTACCCCAACTGTAAAAACAAAACACTAGATGTATTTATTAGTACAAGGAAATGTTGACTTTGGACTCTTGTGTGATTTATTTAGACAGTTTTGTTAATCTGAAAGGGAATTTTACAACCAGAAGTTGAGCTGAACGGATAGACTTTGAGGTATGAACAGGATTTTTGGAGGTATTCGTAAAAATAATTGATCTAATTAGTCGTTTTTGGAATATAAAATTAAATTTCAAAAGACTCATCTAACCTTCTCAACCTCCTGTTCCTGGGTGAAACTTGTTTTAGATGTGCTTCTTTCAAAATTAACACGAAAAGTAAGTTATTTCAAATAAAAGCACCAGCCAGCAGCTTTGTGAGGACTTGTATGCCTCTGAGGACAATGCATCAGACTAAACTCTGACTTAATGAGACAGGTTTGTTGTTTTTATCTCAGTCTTCATCTTTTACCTGATCAGAGCGGTCACACACACACACACACACACACACACACACACACACACACACACACACACACACACACACACACACGCACGCACGCACGCACACACACACACACACACACACACACACACACGCACACGCACGCACGCACGCACACGCACACACGCACACACACACTCAAGTTTAATATCTCATATACTGAAAAAAAGACTGAAATGTGTGTCCAAGGAGGGTGAAACCTGAAACCGTCACTCATTTTATGAAATGTTGTAAAAACCGCAGAAAAAAAAAAACATTCTGTTTTATTAGCATAGGAAAGTCCCATGTAGAAATTTCCAGAAGGTGAAGAAGTGTGAGCAATGCTTTCACTTTTAAATTTTGTTTCACTTTCATTACTTAGAAGGAAAATCCGGTAATAATAAGAATAACCTTTATTACTGTTATTTAGTGCATAATTAAGCATTAAAGGTGCGGATCCATGAAAAGAAATTTTTAATGATTAGTTATTATATTTTTTATGATTAGGGATACCAGTATCGGTATTGGTAACAGTCAACCAATACTAATGCAGCTGCCTGAAAGTAGCTTCACTGTAACTTGTCATTTCTGTTCACCTAATATTTAAGTTTTCTGATCATTTCTATTAATAATCTACCTCACAGTCTTTTCCTGTTGAAAGCAGAGAAGAAAATAAAACCTGTATTCCAATTCATTGCACTTTTTGTTTGGTAGAAGTATCGGCATCTGCAATTGGTATTGGCGAGTACTCAGATCCGAGTATCGGTGGTATCGGTGCATCCCTATAAATATATAAATTAATCAATTATTTCTTATTATAACTGGTCATTGAGATTTTCATGCAGCTGAACATGAAAATAGTCTCCTACACCTATCTCCTACATTAGCTTCTGGTGGGAAATAGATGGAGAAACGATTTGAAAATCCCGACAGATCTACGTCCCGTTACTTAACATTCATAGACTCATCGATCTTGACTCGTGACGATGAAGGCTGTATTTGCTTTAGCGTTCAGGAAACAGCAGAGAACGTCTCAACTAGTAGAAGCTAACCGCTAGCATTAGCAACCCCACCACACAGCAGAACTCCTCCAGGCTTGTGTTATTTGTGGGGATAAAACATCAACGTTCCAAAAAAATAACAGAGTCAGTGTTAAAGTTGCGTTGCTGTTAGCCAATCAATGGCGAGATGTCCAAATATCAGGAAATAAGATGCCAAATCCTGCCGTCTGAAGATACTTTCTCCTCCAGCTGAATTCTTCATGCTAATGCAGGCGCTTCTGGGCTATTTTACCCCAGAGTACGACTTATGAGGCATTCATTTCAACTAGAGACCACTGCAAATGTATTGATTAAACCAGTGTTCAACACTTTTAATGAACTAAACCTTAGGGATACTTAATAATTAACAATAACGGTAACGGTAATAAAGGGACCCTTGCTTCATAATGTACTAAGTAACATTGATAAAGGGACCCTTATTGTAATGAATGAAATGAGGTTTACTTAAGAATTGAAATTCACGTGTGACACATCAAACTTCCAAAAATTCCTGTGATGTTATCAAAAAAAATCCATCTGAGTTTATTTATATCTCATGCAACCCTGGTTCCATGGGTGGTGAGGTATTTTCAGCCCCAATAAATGACAAACACATGCAATGTGAACTTGAAAATGTTTTGCGAGCACATTGTAGGGATAATTGGATCCAGCGGACGACTAATCCCCAAACAAAAGATTGTAACAAGAGATGGTGAAAACGTGACAGCAGAACTCTTCCGTTGCCGTTTGGCTCCTTATATAGAAATCTTTCCCCTTCGTCTGAGAAGCTGCTGCCAGAGGATGACTGACAGACTTTGTATCACCTTCCTATTTGTGTTTGAGCAAGTTCATCAGGCCGAACTCATCCATGTTTGCTAGGAAATAAAGGGCCTGATTCATGATTATTGTAAGCTGTGATGAACCCATGTTGTGCCCTTTATGGGGTCGCCTCAAATTCCCATCATTCTTCTGTGAAGACACATGCAACAGGAAAAAGTGCTCGTTTTCGTGTTTTGTTGTGGATTCCAGTTCTTCCACTACTCAGTCTGTATTTTCTTTTAAAAGCAACACGTGAGGAAATTAGAAAGGCGCTGAAAACACAGCCGGCGTGTAAGGAAGTCTCTTTCTGTGTTCCTGCTTTTGTTGAAGGTGAAGGCAGCTTGTCTATTTGCCTCACACGCATTAGCTAATCTCCACGTGCTGTACCTTGTGACAACTTTTCCTGTTTTCAATGATGTTCAGTTATTTTGCCTCTGGGGTTACAGTTCTCCACACTTGATGTCAAAACACACAAACTTCAAAACAAACCAAATAAAGTCTGCCAGTAATAAGAATGATGCATTTTGGTGGTACTAGAATAAAATTTAAAGAATGAAAGTAAAAAAAAAAAAAACAGAATAGTGTGTGTGTGTGTGTGTGTGTGTGTGTGTGTGTGTGTGTGTGTGTGTGTGTGTGTGTGTGTGTGTGTGTGTGTGTGTGTGTGTGTGTGTGTTGGATATTCCTCTGTAGTGGTGACAGGCATGATTCGTTGTTGGTTTGTAAAAAACAGGACTCAACAGAGGTTATGTAATTTTTTTTAATGTAACCCCAACCCTAACTCTAAACCAGGGGTGTCCAGACTTTTCCAGACCAGGGCCAGAATTGCCAAGTTAATAGTCTTTGCAGGCCATAAATATGAGATTTTTTTCAACATATAAAATGCAAAAATAGATTTCATTGTAGTTTGTTTCCACGCTGCTTCACAAAATAGGTCAAAAATAAGCATATTGGTAAAAATCTGAACATAAAAAATATTTGAAAGTGCAACAACCTGCTGGAAAGACTAAATTAAACTTTCTAGAAATGCAATTTGGGGCCACAAAAAATCACTCAAAGTGCCACGAATGGACCCTGGGCTGCTCTTTGCACGTGCTATGCTCTAAACAACACATGTAAGCAATTTATGCTGATCTTTATCTACAATGACAAACATCTATTTTAAATGTATTATTATTATTATTATTATTATTATTATTTATCTGTGTTTTTTTCCCATGAGAATATTTCATGTCCTACAGAATCTTGAATCATGTAAATTCAAGATTTAATCCAATTTCTATCCGTTTCAAGCAGAAATCCCAGACTTCATTGCTCTCGGTAAGTATATGAACATTTTGTAGTATTCCTGAGTGGTGAGTGTGTGTTTGGCGATAGAATAAATAACAGGATCTTGCATTTTTTTTGTTTTTATTTATTTATTTTTTTTGCCAAAAACACGCTGCTAGGAAGACTTTGTGTATTTGTATACTTCAGGGCCCACGCCCATGGATGGATCCCGCTCCCGCGCGCAGGCGCACTGGCACTCCTTCTGTCAAACATGGCTGTTCTCTGGAAGAAGGAAAAATGCTGAATTGTGTTGGTATATGTTGGGAAAAGCAGCAGACATGGCTAGATTGGCGGACTATTTCATTGTCGTTGGATATGACCAGGAGAAAGCCGGTGAGTTTATTCATTTTTTGCTTGTTTTCTTTTGTCGGGGCGGGCTTGCAGGCTGAACTGAGGTCAGTTTGTGATGATGTTAATGCTACTTAGCTTTGCGCCTAGCATAAACGTTAGCCACACGGCTAAAGGCGAGCCTGGAAACACTTTGTTTTTCTCCCATTAACCGCCCAGATGTTTTAAACCATTCGGGGGTCACGTGTTTACTCAACAGGCACACATTTCATGTCGAGTTCGTGGTTTCTTTCGGCAGGGTTGGGATATTTGAATATGACTAAAGGAAACTTTTTCTGTGGAATACAAAATCTGTCACATCCTGTCCATGTTGCTCGCACTCCCCCTTTTCTGGTGTGCTAGTTAACGGAACACGCTTGAATACTGCTTCTGCATTTGTTCATACGTGTTTTGATCTGATTCATTCCTCATCTGATTTACCAAATTAGTCTAAAAGGATCGTGTTGACAAAATACTTTCAGTTTTTGTTGCGTGGTTATTTTTTGCATTTTTGGATGTCCTATATCTGGGTCTATTTTTACCTGCTCCAGCCCCGTGTGTGTGTTTATATTTTTCCTGAAGAGTGCCGAACTTCATCACGATGGGCGTAACGCTGTGCAGCTGCAGCGACGAAAAGCAATCGTGGTGCTAAAGTTGCGCCTCACCCCTCCTCTCCACTGTTGTTCTGCTCAGCCCTGGAGCTGGGACAGGAAGCCCCCTCATGCCTCCACTTATGTTGTGCCTCAGGTCCAGCCTCGCATTCCTTTCATCCAAGACAGGAAACAGCTTTGTACACACTTCTAATCATTCATAGATAAATAGATGAACACTTTTTTGGCACGTTCAGGCTGTGACTTCGAATAAACTTTTGCAACTTATGACCAATCTTGCACTTTTAAAGATGGATTATGAACTGACTTGTTGCAAGAGAACATATTAAAGCTCACAACCAGTTTTTGTGGCACCCGTCCTGCTAGAGAAGCCAGAGCAGCTGAATCCTCTCATTCACTCTAGCATGCATGCACAATAGGTAAACAGTGTCTTTCATCCGCTCTATGCATCCTCACCACAAACTGATAAATGAACATTTTGTGCACCATGAATGAAATGTTCCTGGCTCTGCTGGGGAAAAAAAGATAGTGATATTTTGATTATTTAGCTTCTGCTCTCTCCACAAAGGAATGGCTGCTATAGCAAATTTGGAAAACAAATTCACTTAAAAAATAGTTTCATGCCTCTTAACAATGTTCTAACATAGTATAGCTATAAATGTATTGTGGCGATTAAAGCTGTAAAACACTGACAAAACATTTTTTAAATCTTTTTTATGATTATAATCTGTCACTCTGTTTTATGCAAGCTGAACATGAAAATCGTCTCCCACACCTACCTCCTGCATTAGCTTGTGATAGAAAATAGATGTTTGAAACTCTAGGATTTGAAAAGCCTGACAGATCTATGTCACACTGTCACTTAACATTCTTAAGGCTCATTCATGCTTCTCCATCAGCTCCGCAAGGACAGACACGCATGGACTGACAGAAGCGTTTTGCTCTCATACTTCTCTGTCTCCTGGAGAGTGTTGCAAAGCAATTCCCTGGCAGGACAACAGAGGGCATAGTGCTGATCTGTGGCATCCTGTCACGTATCCGGTCCAAGATAGTGTGTTTATATTGTGTTTTTTGTATATAAGAGACTTTTTAACACAGACAAATTTGTCTCTCATTCTCCTCCACCTCTTCATGCGCTCACCACCTCTAAATCCACGTTTCCTGTCATTTCCGTCCACAAATGAAACACTTGCTGCATATCTTTTCACTCATCGAGTTACGGGGAATTAAACGTTCATATGTTAAGAGTTTTTTTCGAGAGGTATTCTTCAAGCTTCTCTGTGTCTGCCGCTAGTTATCCTCGGCTCTGTTTATGTTTTTGAGGGCGCAATGGCAGCGGTGTAGACGACAGCGGTGCCCTGGCCAATCACAAGCTTGCGTTCATTGTCTCGTTTGACGGATGTTTAAAAAAGTGGGCTCGACTCCGTACGTACTTGCATGCCTGCCGGGGCCCTATGCAAGGACGGATAGTGGCGTTGCGTATCTCCGCACTGACGCAGACGGAGAAGCATGAATCAGCCTTTAGACTCACCCATCTTAGAGCCTGGCCCACACAGAAGACAGATGCGCTGTGCCACGTCACGCCTGCGCTGTCATTTTAAAAAGAAACCATTATGGTTACTGAAAGTGGCTACACGGAGAGCGCAACGCCACGTCCCAGCAACGCCGGTCCGCACGGTGGCGCTGAAGATAGGCGCCAGTTCTATTTCAAGCGCAGCTGTTTACAACATTGTGGAGTACTTTACAACAGACATTATGACGCGGAACGGCTACACTTCACAAACCCAACCGCCAAAACATGGATGAGGAGCTTTAAAGCTTTAAAGTACTATTGATCTTAAAATATTCTAATAAATAGCGTACTTACCTATTTTTAAATAATTTGAGTCTCACAAAACATGACAGCAAGTCTGATCACATATAAACAAAAGAGTCACTTTCCGCTTCCTGTTCTCAAGTCCCGCGTGATGTTGTGACTATCGTGCAATTTTTCAGCGGCGTAGCAATTCCAGTGTGACCATTTGACTAAACCTGCATCACTTCCGTGGCGCAGCGCATCTGTCTTCTGTATGCCCCAGGCTTAACTTGCAGTAAGGAAGGCTGTTGTTGGTTTAACGTCCAGGAAACAGCAAAGTCTCGCCTAGCATAAGCTAACTGTTAGCAATAGCAACTCCACCCAATGGTAGAATCTCACCCAGGCATATGTTATTTGTGGAGATTAAGCCTCCACGTTGCAAGTCATTGGTAGTCGTGTTGCTGTTATATAATCCGGGGTGAGATGTTCAAATTTCAAGACTCCAAAACCTGCTGGCTGAAGCACAGCTGTGATGTGGCTCACTTCTAGTTACCGGAAATGGCGCACCAGTGTTTTTTGCCCCCTGAGAATTACTTACAAGGCATTCATTTCCTACTAGAGACTTCTTCAAATGTATTGATTAAATGAGCAAACCACACATTTAAATTAAATGAAAAAAAAAAATAAAGTGGTTCTCACACATTTTTCTAAAAACCTCAGTTTCAAACCGAAAGCAACTACCATCTGGTTTTCGGTCTCGTTGAACCGTCGCACTTCCCTGGATCCTCCATACATTACACACTCCTGTTTTGCAACAGAACACCACTGGTGTGAGAGGTTCTCAACTAAATAATATCAGAGAAGGAAAAAGAGCTGGCTTCTACCACTTCAACTTTAGGACAAACTACCAGAGTCCCGAAAAGTAAAACGCCGTTTGGTCACAGACAACAAAAGACTTTTGGACCTAGAAAACAGCGACTGGTGTTTAGCACTGTCTCATTTCGTCCAGCATCGTGGGTTTCCAGTTCTGACAGAAACGTCTCAGGGAAGATACCTGATCGGAGGGTTGAGTGTTCTGTGACCGTGTTTACATTGAAAACCTAACTTGTTTGAAGATTTGCTATAACAGCTTTAAATATACGAAGTTCTGCCGTTACAAGCTGATTCTTTCTGGTGATGTCACACACGTAGGTCACATCTAAATCCAAACCTCACAGAAGGATAAAACAGTCCCAAATTCCTAACTGGGAATGCACGTTTGCCATAATTTATTAAATCCAAGTGTGATAGATGTTGCTATAAGTCACAGATTTCCAAACATGCACCACTTTGTGAGAGAATGGAATATTGTTTAGATTTGAAAAATAAGGCTATTTAGGGTGATACCTTTACTTAATTAATTTGGATCATTGAAGTCGCGCAAGCTACAGTGATACGCAGTTGGTCGTCTAGACAACAGATTTTATTTTCCTCCCTGTCCATCTTGCTCATTAACTCAAACCAGGATTCCCTACGTGGCTCCTGCTCTTCGCTGACTGTTGCTCCAGTGGCCTGACCCACTTCTTATTGTTAGATTACTATGGATTGATCAGTTGGAGATGCTAATTAGCATGCAATCTGTTCAGTGTGGTCATAGTTCAAAGCAATGCCTCACACTTTCCGTGGTGAGGAGACATCTCAGGGTGTCTAGCAAGAATCAGAACAGGAACTATCGAGTTGGCTTGAACTTGTGAAGCTAAACACTAAGTTAACTTCTGTGTAGAATTGATTTTCACACATTATTTTCCAGGATTTTCTTAAAATAGCTTCACCATTTTTTACCATTTGCTCTTTGCACTTCTCATTTATACCTATATGACTTTGTGGATGAAAGTAAGCCCAGTACTTTTCAGGATAATTTGGGGGGAAGATGTTGAAATACCATGTTGAAATGATTGTGCCGGGTGGGCGGAGTGAAATCATTTAAAGCAGGCTTTCAAAAGATAGTTGAGGAGGGAAGTTTCTCACCTTTGTAGTTCGTTGTTGGGGGTTAAATAGATTGATTTAACAGTTTGTTATTTAAAGGTTTCAAATATGTGAAATTGAGATGCAGAGGTGAGCGTGGCAACAGGCCCTAAGACCTGTGAGGTAAGATGGTTCAGCATGAAATCGGACCGGCCTGCTTCCCAGGGGGCCCATGTCATGATCCACCAACCATGAACTTTGGAATTATGTTCATGAACAATGTAGGAATGTGAAAACACTGATGCTGACTGATGGACTCTACTAAATCTACATTGTATTTTGTATTCTCCCTTTTGCCATAGGCTGTGTTATTTTTCTTTACTGGCACAACCTTATTTATAATCTGGTGTACTTTGCATTATAAATTAGAGTTTTCCATGTTAAAAACAAATCTGCCCATGGTTTATTTAATGGATATTTTCACCTTCTCTTGAATCAAACTGCTTTTGGAATGAGTTTTCCAGACTCTACGTGTGACTTCATGGTCTGGATTATAGGATTTGCTTGTGCAACTTTCTGCAGAATAATAAAAAAATAAGCATTGTAAAGGAGCTAAATTCTTCCATTTGAAGATATTTTTTGACTACATTATGATG